TTTTTTTTTTTTTTTTTCATTCTTTTTTCTGTTTCTCAGACTGGACCTGTTGACCTGTCTTCAAGGACCTAGATTCTTTGTTTTGCCAACTACAGTCTGGTGTTGAGTTGCTCTAGGGAGGTTTTCATTTTAATGATTGTACTTTTTCAATCCAGAAAAAGTCTATTTTTATTTTGTTTTCCTTAATTTTTTCTTGTTATTGATACTCTATTGGTAAAACATCATTCTTGTAATGTAATTCTTTAGACATGAACATATGGTAACTGACTTAAAGTACTTGTCTGGTAAGTTTAACATTTGAGCTTACTGCAGAATAGTGTCTGTTGACCACTTTCTCCCTCTGTGTGTGGACTCTACTCTCCTGGTTCTTCTTGTGTCTCTTTTTTAAGTAATATGATGTGGCAACTCTGGAAGATCCTCCCATCCCCCAAATTGTTGTTTCTGTTTGTTTAGTGTGTTTTCCTGGACCAGTTGTGCAAATCTGCACCTGCTGTGCTTGGCCATGTGAGTCCTTGTCGGGCAGCTTCCTGATCAGCTCATTAGGTTTCCTCAAATGCTTTGATCCAGTGAGTCTTGTAGTTTTGCCGACTAGCTGTGTGTGCATGTATGTGGGGTGTGTACATGAGGGTACATGCCTGTGTGCATGGGAGTGGGGGGTGTGCATGCATGTGCATAGGTGTGCATGAGTGCATGCACGTGGGGTGAGTGCATGAGTGCATGTGAGTGCATGGGAATGTGGGGGTGCATTGCATGGATGGGTGTGCATGTGGGGTGCGTGTGAGTGTATGTGGGGGTAATTGTGCATGTGCATGTATGAGTGTGTGCATGAGTGTGTACGCTGGGGGGGGTGTGCATGTGTGTGGGAGTGTGTGTGGGTGTGTTGGGCATACCTTCAGTGTCCTACTAGCCAGATGCTGACCCTGACTTGGTTTTCCCTTTATGAATGTTTTGATCTTTGCTCCACGAAAAAGTAGCTTATAGTTGTAGTTGATGTTTCTCTTAGGAGTGAGAGCAAGCAGTTTCCATATGTTAAAGCAGTCTTGTTTATCCTTTTCTGGGAATTGTATTCCATACCATTTGCTCATTTTTCTGTTAGTTTATTGGTTTCTTATTAAACTGTGGGAACTCTTTATTCAGTGAGAAAACAAGCTGTACATGATGAGTTGCAAATACATCCTAATTTTATCTTCTGATTTTGCTTACATTGTTTTCTGCCATGTAGATTTTTTAAAATGTAGTTGAATTTAACCAGTCTTTCATGGCTTCTTCGTTTTATATTCCTGGGGCCATGGGGCTGCTGTGGGGTGGTATGGTGTGGCCCCCTTGCCCAGTGCAGACTGACTGGCCAGCCAGGGAGTAGCAGAAGGGTGGCAGGAGAGAGGAATGGCAGGGCCGTCACAGCGGCCGGGAGTCAGGGGTCAGAGTTGGCTGCACAGAATGGAAAACTCCAGTGACAGAGCCTTGTGAACACCAGGGTTTAACCTGCTTAAGTCCTAAGGTGGTGCTCAGGTTGGTGAGGAAACTGCATGGAGCCATTGGGCTCCATGCCTTCCCAGCTTCAGAGCACAAGGCCTGCATCCCCAAGACTGTCTCTTGGCCCACGGTGGCTGCTGGAGCTCCAGCCATCACTGGGTCTGCAGGAGAGGGGCTGTACCTTAGCCTCAGCCGTGTCCTGTGAGGAGCCTCCTCGGGAATGCCTCCAGCAGCACACACTGCTCGTGTCAACTTGGCCAAACCTAATCCCCTGGGAGTATCAGCTGCCCAGAAAGCAGGAGAGGTGGTCTCTCTCCCAGGGATCAGCACCCAGCTACCATCAGCTCTGTGTCCTGGAAAGAAAGAGTGGTCACTGCCTGGCGGGGGCTTCTCCAGCGGGGGCCACCACCCTGCTGTCTGGCGTGGGGTGGGACAGGGCACCTGCAGCTGTCCTGTGCAAACTGTGCCCCCCAAGTGACAGTCCCTGCATTCCTGAGGATGACCTGTTACTCTTCTGCCCACCCCCAGGTCGCCCACTTTGTCCAGCCTTGCCCTTCCCCATGGAAACAGCACACCCTCCAGAAAGCCGCAGGTGGCCAGGGACGGTCCCTCTGAGCTGAGCTGAGTGACGTTTCAGTGGCCCAGGAGGGAGAGCCAGGGGCCACCCTGGGCAGGGGTGCTAAGTCACGCTGGCTGCCCAGGAGCAAGGGCACATGGTCACAAGTGGGGAACTGGGGGTGGGGTGGCAGGGGCACCAGCCACTGAACGACGAGCTGCACCACTGGCGTGGGCAGGGCTGGGTGCCAGGAGAGCCTCACTGCTAGAGGAGAGGGGCCCGTGGGGACGAGGACAGGAGCGCCTGGGCTGGGGCAGCGGTGTTGGGGGGTCCTGGGCAGGGAGTGAGATGGGCCCCCCCCACCTCAGCAGGACAAGCGGGGGTGCTGGGACCCTGAGAAGGAAGGAGCGGGACAGGCCGCCTGCCCCGGCGGAAGGGCGGCCCGTGTGGACAGCCTGGAGCTTTGGCTCCAAAAGAAGGCCCTGCAGCAGGCAGCGAGAGGCAACGTGGGGCCTGGTGGAAACAGCGGGGGGATGGGAGGCAACAGCAGGATGGGCAGGGGGCACGAGCCTGCCTAGGGGGTGGGGTGGCGGGCACAGCGGGCCAGGGCAGGCTGCTGGAGCAGGTGGGCAGGGAGACAGGTGAAGCTGCTGGGTGCTCTGTGGGGGGGTGGGTCTGCTGGCAGTCCCCGTGCCCACTCCCCTTCTTAGCACGCATGGCAGGGGGCGGGGGGGGGGGGCGCAGGTCTCACCAGCCAAGAAACTACATTTCCCAAACTCCCTTGGCTAGGAGTGATCAAGTGACCAAGTTCTGGCCAATGAGATCTGAGCAGCTGTTACAGGGGCTTCCGGAAAGCTCCTTAAAGGAAGCGGTCGCTCCCCTCTCTCGTTTGCTGCCTAGAACGTGGGTGTGATGGCTTGAGCCTCACCCTCCATGTGTGTCTATGAGGACGAGGCCCAGCCCAGCCGGGATGGGGCAATGGGAGAGTTGGACAGAGCTGGTGCCCCAAGAACTCTGGGAAGGTGTCATAGCTGGTCCCCCAAGAACTCTGGGAAAGTTCTCCAAGCTGGTCCCCCAAGAACTCTGGGGAGGTGTCAACAGCTGCCCAGGGCCGCCAGCGGCCAGCATTCCCTCACACAGGAGAAAGAAAGTCTCCTTCAGTTCCCATCCATTGAGCTTTTCTCTTTCACACAACCAAAGCCATGTGCACTGGCCAGGGAGGGAGCGGGGCTGGGCTCAGCGGCCCGGACAGGAGACGGCAGGGGGGGGGGGGGAGTGTAGGGAGGGGAGCCCCCAGGGGGGCTCTGGGAAGGGAGGGGCCGTGTCTTGCCTGTTCCTCCACAGGATGAACTGCGTGGGCACCATTCTAGGATTGGGGGCCGCTGCTCTTTGGGGCCAGGGCTGGTCCTGCGGGCTGGAGGAGGGCCTCTCCAGAGTGCACCCAGATCCTGGGCTGAGCCTCACAGCACTCACAGCAAAGTGGGGGCCACAAGGGGACAGGGACAAGGTGCCAGCGGGGCCAGCACGCCCCTCTGCCTCCAGCTCAGGAACCCCAGAACTGGGCAGGCAGGGGCCCCCGAAAAGCCTCTCAGGGGTCAGGCTGGTGGGGACAGCTTGAGGGTCCCCGGGGAAGTGGTGTCTGCATCCCCGAGTTCCCTGGGTTCGTGGCAGATTCTGGTGACCTGTAGGAGAGGGAGCAAAAGAGCTGGAGGGGGGCGGGGAGCTGGGCCTGTGAGCACCTGCAGAAGCGGGCAAGGGCACCTGGGCTGGGCCAGGGTCCCCCTAGCAAGCCCCACATGTGCCAGGCCTGTTCTTCCCAGTGACGCCACGCCTGCCCCCCGGGGTGCAAGGAGGCTCAGACAGGCTGACATGGGTCCATCCCCACAAGGGCTCAGCACTGAACGGAGACCTCAGGGGCCCAGGGGAGTGACAGGGAGCCCCCACTTCCACAGCAGGGCCTGCTCAGGTGCCCAGAGTGGCTGGGGCAGTCTGCCCAGGTGCCGTGGGACCAGATCGGGGCTAAGTCTGGGGGCCCCAAGAGGAGCGGAGTGTGAGAAGGGGCGGGATCACTTCCCTGCCTCACGGCTTCCAACCTCACCCCCCACCCCCCCGGGTCCTGAGCCAGGGCTGGTGATACTGCAGGGTCCAGAGGTGTGGCTGCCATGTGTCCGGGTGACCTTGTGAGTGTGGGTGAGAGGTCGGGTGGGGAGAGGCAGCCCAGAGCTGCTGCCCCTTGTGCGTGAAACTCCCTCCTCCTTCCTGCCCTCGGTTCCCCAAGGTGGTGGGAGTGGGGAAGGTGGGCAAGCAGTCCCGGGGGGGATGATGGACCCTGCCCATCCTCGGCAATCCTGAGGGGGTGCCCAGCGCCGGAAGTGCAGGCTGAGGCTTCTTGCTCCGCAGCCCCGGGACCCTGCTTGGGCTAAGCACAGTAACCCCGGAAGGTTGAGGCCAGGAGCCTTCGGGGGCCCCAATGTCCGCTGCCTGCGCCCTCGGGAAGCCAGACCTCGGCGGTGAGACTGGGGGCGCTCACACTCCCGCACCCGCCTGTCCTGAGATTCGGGCCTCCTGGCTGCCTGCAGGTTGGGCGGAGGATCCCAAGGGTGCTGACCGCCAGCCAGAAGGTTACTGCAGAATTTCTGCAGCACCGGCCCTGTGCAGGTGGGGAGCCCCGGGGTGGGGGGCGGTGCTGCGGGTGAGGAGGGAGGCCCGAGGCCAGGGTGGGGGCTGCAGCGCAGTGCGGGGCAGTTCAGCCACCCCATCCAACCCCCGCCCCTCCTCCACCCTCTGCCCACTAGAGACAGCAAGGCAACGCGGGGCACCCTCCTCCACCCCCACCGGCCGGGGGTGGCTGTCACCCCCTAGCCGCAGGGTCATCCTGTTCCACGACCCCAGCCTCAGCCCCAGCCCCGTGGTCGGTGACCAGCACGGGGAAGAGTCCCTCTGAGAACACGCGAGTTGCTCACGGAGTGGGATGTCCCCACCGCGGGTGCAGGGCTCGGCCATGGAGAGGGATGTCCCTCGCGGGCGCAGGGCTCAGCCATGGAGCAGCCGCGGGGCTGCGCAGGCACACGGCCCCACACTCGTTGAACAGAGACTGTGGGAGGCCACCCTGAGTGCCGGCGGCGGGGACCCCCATCACTGCGCGGTAGCGCCCGCATGCCGGAGCCTCGGCTCTCAGAGCCACCTGCCTCCCCGCCCCGCGCTCCAGAAGCCGGCAAGAGGGGGCTCGGTGCCGGGCTTCGGGCAGAGAGGCGCCGCAGCAGGGACCCCGCGGACTGGGCTCAGGCGCCTGCCTGGGAAGCAGCAGACGCCCCTGACACCTCGGCAGGCCTGGTGCTCAGGGCTGGCGGGGCCAAGGCGCAGCGAGGCAGGAGCACCCGGCAGGGGCAGACCAAATCCCTGCCGCGGCCCCACCAACCCTGGCACAGTCCCCGCGACTTTCCTCATCCCCAGGCGACCCCGCGGAAGGAGGGGAAGAGGAGGTCCGGAGGCTTGGGGGACTGAAGGAGTAGGGAAGGCAGGGGACCCGGTTCTCTGGGGCTGGAGGCTCCACGGCGAAGGTGCCCAAGCACGTGGGGGCACAGGACGTGCCAGCCTGGCCACGGGAACCCGGGCCGGCGGGGAAACGGGGGCCCACGGCTAGCACGGGATCCAGCACCCTGGGGCGCCTGGGGCGCGCCGAAGTCCCCACGGAAGGGCAGCGAGGAGCCTGAGGGACGCGGGCCTCCTTCGGTTTATTGATTGGGTAGAGTTCGGCAAAGTGCTTCCGAGCGGACCGAGCTTGGCCCCGACGCACGCGGACAGTCGTTTATAAATTTAAAACTCTTCTGTAGCAATCGGCTATATACAGAGTCAGCGACCGCGGCCTTACCAAAGAGCCAGCCTGCGGGCGCCCTCGGGTCCTACGGCCGCCCGGCCGTCCCGCGGCCGCGCTCAGAGGTGCGGCGCGTAGAAGGCTGGCGCACCGTAGGTCTGCGAGCCCAAAACGAAGGGCGAGAGCACCGCCGGGCTCGACAGGAAGGGCAGCTGCGCGGCGCACACCAGACCGCCAGGGCCGTGCGCCGGGTACCCCGCCGGGCCGTGCATGGCGAGCGGCGCGCCCATGGGCGGCGACGGGCTGAGCGGGCTGAGGCCGCCGGGCAGCCCTGCGCCCGGCCCCGCGCCCGGGCCCGCGCCCCCGCCGCCGCCGGTCGGCGCGCTGGTGTCGGCACCCGGGTTCTGCTTCTTCCACTTGGTGCGGCGGTTCTGGAACCAGATCTTCACCTGCGTCTCGGTGAGGCTCAGCGATAGCGCCAGGTTGAGGCGCTCGCACACCGACAGGTAGCGCGTCGCCTTGAACTTGTTCTCCAGCGCCACGAGCTGCTCGTAGGTAAAGGCGGTGCGCGCGCGCCGCGGCTTACCGGACTTGGAGTCGGAGCCCGTGCGCTTCCGCTTGGGCTTCGCGGCCGCCGCCGCCGCCGCCGCAGCCTGCGAGGCCGTCCCTGCGCCCCCAGGCCCCGCCGCCGCCGCGGCGGCTCCCTGCGGGCCCGGGGCTCCGGGCGAGGTCCCGCGGGGACCCGGGGCCGCGGCCTCGTCGACGGCGCCTGAGGGTGCCTCGGCCTCTCCCTGGCAGCCCGACCCGCGGGCCCCGAGGCCGCCGCCGCCGCGGCCGCCTCCCCGCGCCTCCGCGCCGCGCGCCGCCTCGTCCTCGTCGTCGTCGTCGTCGGGCGCCTCGTCACCGCTGTCCGCGCCCGGGCTGCGGCCGCCACCGCTGCTGTAGCCGTTGGCCTCCGTCTCGTCCGCCTTGCAGGGGTCGCCGGCGTCTGCGGGCCGGGCGGGGAGAGAGGACAGGACAGTTAGGACCAGCGCGCTCCCTTCCGCGCTCGTCCCCGCCGTCCCGCGCCCGTTTCCGTTTCTTCTCTGCCGCCTCCCCGGCCCCGGGCGCTCTCGTTTCCCTGCCCGCTCCCCTCCCTTCCTCCCTCCCTCCCTCCCTCCCTCCTCCCGCGCCCCGCACCCCCCGCACCCCCCGCACCCCTCCTCTCCCGCGGCTCCTCTTCCCGCAGTCTCCCGGTCCGCGCCTTTGCCCGAGCTGGGCGGACCGGACCGCCGGGTTTACGGCGCGGGGAAGGATCCCATCGATCCGCGGGGCAGATACAAACTTAATTAAACTCATTTTGTGTAATGTACAAACTAGTTAACGGCCATTTAATTTATTTCGGCGTATATTACCCTCCAATTACCGCAAGGCTCCGGGCCAGCCAATTACTGAGCGTTCAAGAGTGGGCCGGACCAGAGGCCTGGGGTGAGGTTGGAGCCCGCTGCCGGAGGCGATTTCGGGGGACCAAAAACGCTGCCCTGGATCCATCCGTACCTCGAGCCTTGGGGCCTAGAACTTGGCCCCTGGGCTGAGGCCCCAGCGGGCCTGGACTGGGCCTGACCGGGAAATCCCGGCCTGGGTGGTGGGGGTCCAGGGCGGCGCTGAGATCCCAGGGATGGAGTCCCCGCTTGGCCTGTCTGAGCAGCAGCCCCGGATCCTCCAGGCAGAGGCCCGCAAGGTGGCTGCAATCCGAATCTCAGAAATTTGAAGGACAGCGTCTGACCTGGTGGCGGCCTGGCTTGGGGGCTGGGGAGTTTCTATGCAGTCCCGGCTCCCACAGGTGGTCGTACAACCAGGAAAGAAGCCAGGACAGGCCCCCAGCACTGTGTCACGCGGTGGGGCACCAGGCCCCGTGAGGATAGCACCGAGAATTGGAGAATAAAGGACAAATGCAGTCCTGGGAGACTCCTCCAGGGTGACCACAGAGGCTGCCCAGAGGCGGGCCTCCAGGCCCCCAGGTACCCCTTGCTGCAAGCAGAGACTGTGCCAAGATTAGCCCAAGAGTACTTTGCTCCTGTTCTGTCCAGGGCTGGACTGAGGAAGGGGGGGCCTGACCGCTCCCTCCCTGAACCCGAGAAACTGGGCCTTCTGACTGTTCCCCATTAGAGTGGAGGCTCTATATGGAAACTCCCAGAACCTCGCCAGGTGGGAAGCCTGAAGGGTCCCCTCCAGTTCACCCGGGTGTTAGTCCAGCTCTGAGGGTGCCCCAAACTGGAGACCCCTCTCCTGGAAAGGCCCCCCAGCCCTGCCCGCCCTGCGCACCTCTCCCTGCCAGGCAGAGGGCCCGGGAAGTTGGCTGGAGGAAGGGCCAGGGGAGGGGGCACCGAAAGCAATCAGGAGCCGGTCGAATGCAATTCTCGATCAATAGCGGCCCCTAATAAGTGTAATAGGTTTTAATCGAGTAATTATCCGAATTTTGACCCTATAATTTAGATGTTCGGGGGGAGTTTGCAAGGTGCTTGAAAGAGATATGCATGCAGCCGTAATGGGATATCGACCGGGCCGGGGCTCGGGCTGCCCCATTAGCGGTTGCTTTCCGCCGCTAAGCACATTTCCCCTTAACTGTAATCGAAGGGATTTAATTGTTTTTCCAGAGATAACCAGCGTTTTGTCACAATTAGTCTGATTTGTCCCCCCAAAAAATGAGAGAGAAAGAGAAAGAAAAAAAAAAAAGGAAAAAAATGAATGGAGGGTGGGGGCCTCGGGAGGCTGAGGCGGGAGTGGGGAGGTCGCGGCGTGCGAGCCCGCCATGCTCAGGGCGCGCGGTGGGCAGCCCTGCGCCAGCCGCGCGGCCCGCAGCCCTGCGCCCGGCCCGGGGAGCCATCTGGAAGGCACCGGGCGCTGCGGGCCGGGAGTCCGGGTCGCACGCAGGCGGCGGGCGGGCTGGTGCGGGCCCCGCGCGCTGCGAACTTTCCCACAGAGCCCTGGCGCCGGGCCGGCCAGGTTCGCCGAGGGGTCCCGGGAGCGCGAACGCGTAGCCGCGGCCCGTGGCCCTGCCCTGGAGACCCGGCGCCGGCCCTGTCCTACTCACGCGGCGGCTCAGCTCCGGTCCCGGCTCCAGCTCCGGCGGCGACGAGGGCGCGGCGCTCCAGCTCCTCCGAGCGCGGCGGGCGTCCCGGGGCTGCAGGGGCCGGGGCGCAGGCAGCGGGCGCCACGGGGCCCAGCAGCACACAGCGGCGTCTTCTGCTGTTGAACTTGTTGGGGTCCAGTATGTCCAGCACCGAGAAGGAGGTGGGGCGCGGCGGCGGGCCGGGCCGGGCCGCGCCAGCCCCCTCGGGCGCCGCGGGCACCGTGTCGCTGGCGGCTAGCGGCGGGGCTCCGGCTCGCGGGAAGGCAGGCAGTTCCGCGCGCCCGTCCATGGCGTCCCGGGCGGCGGCGGGCGCGGGCGGTGCGGGCCCTGGGCCTGGCGCGGGCGGCGGCGGCGGCGGCGGCGGCGGCAGCGCGGGGCCGTCCCCGTGTGCTGCCGGGCCGCTCGCGCTCATGCCGGCCTCCCGCCGCGTTGGCCGCTCGGGCCCCTCCGGCTACTGGGCTCCCATCCCCGGCGGCCCGGGCGCCGCCGCTCGGTCCTGCGCCGGCGGCCGCGGCTCGGCTCGCGCCCCGAGCCGCCCCGCGCTCGGCCGGTGCTGCCGCCGCCGCCTCCGCCGCCGCCTCAGGCGCCCGCCGCGCCGGGCCGGCTCCTTTATGGCGGCCCCGCCGGCGGCGCCCACGCGCCCACTCGCCGCACACACGTGCGCCCGCCGGCGGCCACGGGCTCCGCCGCCCTCGTTAGCACGCGCGCCTAATTGGCTGCGAACGGTCCCGGGCGGAGGAGGCGGGCCCCTCGCGGGACACACGGACGGCACCCCGGGCCCGACCGACAGACGCGCAGCCCGGGGACAAGTGCGGTGCGCGAGAGGCTGTCGCGGTTGGCTTCGCTTCGCTTCCGCTCGTCCGGAAACGCCGCCGGCCCCCCGGGCTTGGGGCGGGGGAAGGCAGCCCCCTTAAATAATTGCGGGGGCCCCGGGGCGCGCCCGGCGAGTTGGCTGGGGCATCCCAGCGGCTCGCGAGGCTGCCGCGCTCCTCGGCGGCTGGGCGAGCCGTGCGGTCCCCGCGGGCCGATCCCCGGGGTCTTGGCCGCGTCGTCAGCCCTCTCCCGGGCGTTTCGCGGGCCTCGGTCCCGCCTCCCTCGTCCCTCTGCTCTCGAGTTTCTCGGTCTCGCTCGCTTAGCGACTCGGGCCGGCGTCCCCTCACGCCCCCGCCCCCTTCGTGCCGTCAAATTAGGGCCTGGCCTTGTGTCCGCGCCGGGGGCGGGGCCGACGGCCCCGGGGGTCGCTCATCAGAAGTGGAATCGAATGCGGGGACGGCTGGCTGGGCCTCCCGTCCCCGCCCCAAAACAGGGGCCGAAAAACTCGTGCCCAGGGCAGGAGGCTTACACAAAAATCGATAGCCTCCTGGAAGGGGAAACAGCACCGCAAACTCCCCTCCCCGCTCCCGGAGAAATCCTTCGGTCCGGGTGTTACGTGTGCGTTTGTCCACACCGCGAGGTGCGCACCGCCCGGCCCTGCGGCCCTCGGGGGGCCGGCCCGCGTCCGAGGGCGGGCCGCCGCTCTCTCCTCCCGGCGCCCGCCGATGAGCACACCGGCCGCCGCTTGACCCAGGTGGGAGCCGGCGGTGGGAGCGCGCGTGCGGGGTCCTCAGGGTGTGCGCTGTTGGTGGCGGGGTGTGCGCGCGGGCGTGTGCACGAGCGGTGTGCGCCGCCCCTCACTGCGGTCCCCGGAGCCTGCTCTGCACACAAGGACGGGTCCTTTGCAATTACCGCGGGCAATGATCCTTTGGAAGCAGAAATTAAAAGTTGGGAGAAATAATGGGGGACCGATTGGCTGTAATTTGGGCCAAGCTCGGACAGGCTGATCCTCAGGGAGGTGGGGGCGGGGTGGGGAGATGGGGAGGCCAGACGTCCCCTCCCCCAGCCCTTCCCCTCCCCCGAGTGCTGGTCCGTCCGGAGATTCTAATCAGACCCACAACACTGTGTCCTTCCTTGCCAGGACTTGATTATTCTTTATCTTTAAATTATAAATCACCTCTGGGGGAAGGAGGGTGGATAATCTCTCATCACAGAGAGGTAATTATCTCCTTCCCACCCCCACCTTCCTGGAGGGACTCTTAGGCTCTCTCCACCCCTCCCCCAGCAAAGTTTGAAAATAGATGCGCACACCCATTCACATGCACTCACACACTTGTTCACCAGCACACACCACACACAGGCACAAATTCATTCAAGAGCACACAGGCACGAAAACGCAGTCACATCCCTGCAGCCAGCCTCACCCCTGCCCGCCGGCTCCAAGCTGGCCTTGGTGCCCCTCCACTCTCTCCATGAGAAGGGACACACGGTCCCTGCTCCCTGAGCTACTGCTTAGAGCCCACCCCACCCCCAGGCACAGCTGCTGGGCAGTCCTGGGCACCAAGGGCCAAGGCCCTTGGACTGGGCCCTGACCTGGTTCTGGGTGGCCGAGGCTCAGTGTGAGGCAAGCCCCTCCAGGGCACGCTCACACACCAGGCCTGGCCCCACCGCAGGTCACCAGGCAAGGCACACACACCGCAGTCAAGACCCCCACCCTTTGCTGGGTGGGCGGAGGGCGGTGCGGGCAGGAGCCTGCGCTCACTCTGGTTACACGCTCATGTGAGGAAGAGAGATATGAGCTCTCTTGGTACAACTTTCATTCCACACGAGCACACACACACATGAAATGACGGCCTGTATAATGTAGATGTAGTGTAATGTATGGTGATTATCACTAAAGCACAGTAAACAGAACACAGTATATCACATGTGATATGTAATAAGCGTGATGGAATACTATACCAGAACAGACAACCAGGCGTGCTCCTCTCCAAAGCACATGCGCACACTCAGCGCAGCAAAGCGCTCTTGCCCTGAGAGGTGCGGGCTGGTCCAGGCAGAGGGCCACTCGGATGAATGGCATGGATGGAAGCCCTGTGCCTGTCCCAGATGGTGGAGATCCTTCCCGCCCCTTCTTCCCTGCCCGCAGCGTTCTGCTGGGAGCTTCGGCAGGCAGGCAGGGAAAGGATCTTGAAGTCTGCAGCGTGCAGCCCAGAGCAGTGTGGGGTGATGGTGTGTGGGGGGGTCCTCCAGAGTACACGGGGGACCCCAGGCTGCTTCCCCATGGGAAGCTGTGTGTGGACAGGGCTGGGGAGATGGTCGCATCCTCTCCAGCCCCACCCCTCCCCCATCTCTAAGGAACAGCCCTGGTCATGGAGATACGCAGTATCCCCTCCTCTACCAGACCTGGAGACGGCCTCCCATCTCCCCAACTTCAGCTCAGAGCGTCTGGGGCTATAAAGACGTCCTTTTGCTTCTAATCACAATTGATTGTCAATTAGAACCTCATTTGTGCAATCTTTGCCCATCTGCCATATCGGGTTATCTCCAAGCCACCAGCTTCACTTGCAGGGGCCCCAGGTGGGCAATGACAGGTGAAATCAGGGCTTGAAGTGGGGACGGCTCCACCTGCCTGGTGGACAGGAAACCCCCCTCATTACTAAGCCCCACACTCTGCACATCTGTCAGGACCAGAGGGGGTCACTGGTGGGTTGGGAGGGGGAGTGTCAAGGCTGGAACCAACATGGACAAAGTTAGAAATCTGGGGAGAGACTGGTGATAAAAGGCCTTCGAAGTGTGGATGAGGGCTGAGATTATGTGGAAGAGAGGAGGGGAAGGAGGTGCCTGAGGGAGCTGGGGGAGCGCTGAGCTCTCAGTCCTTTCACCGCTGCCAGCATCCTCCTGTTTGGCCAGCTTGGAGGCATCAGCAGCAGGAGCAGCCCCCCATCCCTGCCACTATCTCTTCATGCATTTGTGAGCCCCCTCCTCAATTTTTCATCTGTGAATTGTGGGAGTTGGATTCCATGTGACCTCTAAGGTCCCCATATCCTCCCCTCAAAGGACGAAGGATGACAGAATTAACAGCTTTCACTGTACATGGTGGTGGTGGGGGGGGAGCTCCCTTCTCCTCTTGCAGCTGGAAGGGCAGCAGTGCTTGGGGGTCTCCAGGGCACATGGATAAACAACCCCCGCTTTGAGTGATGTTTGGTTCATGCAAAACACACCCCACCCCAGACGGCCCAGGATCCTCCCAGCCTCTCCATGAGGGACGCAGAGCAGGGGTGACTCCTATCCACAGACCAGTGCTTCAGCCCCTGAGTCCGGGCTGGGTCCTCAGCTGGCACTGCGTCCTCTCTGAGCGGGCTCCTCCGGGGGCGCCTGTGGGGAGAATGCAGGCGGCAGAGGTGGAGGCTGGCCACAGAAGGCTCTGTGCGCCCTCCCCTCCTATGCACCCCCAAATACCCCCCGGCAACGGCTTTGGGTCACCTGAAGCTTGGCAAATGAAAGGGGAACTCTCTGCTTCTTTGCTTTCTCATCTTCTCTGAGACCTCACCTGGGGTCTCCTGACGACTCGAGAAAGGGCACCCCACACTCAGGACACCAGAGAAGGGAGGGGGCCTGGGCTGCCGCACGGGAGCTTTGGTACAAGGGGGACCCAGCCTCACGAAGCCTTGGCGTCAGAATCGCGGAGAACGCATGCCCAGGCCCGTGTTCAGCACCGCGGACAGCGCCCCGGCCCCTGGCGCTCTGCCTCTGGGCAGCATGCCCCGGTGCCTGTGGCCCTTTGGCCGCACCGGCGCGTGGTGCCAGCATCTTTAATGGCACAAAGGACAGGTAATCGGCCACCCGCTGACGACAGGGAAGACAGTTCAGGTGGGGTGTCGGGGGGGTGTCCTTGCCCCAGCAGACCCTGTCCCTCCAGACTCCGCCTTGAGGTTTCTGTCCTTGTCAGCCACTTTGCCTGTCACTGTCCATCCCTGCGGGGCAGCAGGGGCTCCAGGTTTGATCCAGCCCTGGATGGCCATCTCCCCTCCCTGTCCTCCAGGGTCCTGCCAGACGCAGAGCTCCAAGCTCAGGCATTTTCAGTCAGCGCTCACCAGAGGCTTCTTGGGATTTCTATGGGTTTTTCCCCGGGAAACGCCCAAGGTCCCTCTGTCTAGGGGTGAATGCTCAGAAGACCCCTCCCAAGTGGACTGACAGGTGCCTTGAGCTCTGGGTATCAGGGTCCCCTGACAGTGGCCACCTCTCCTGCCCCTGCCACAGCCTGGCCCTTCCGTCTGCCCCCCATCACTCTAAAGCACAAATCCAATCACAGGCCTCCTGTTCCAGCAACTCCTTGAGGTTGCCATGGTCCAGGGCTGACTCGGGGCTCGGCAGCCCGAATCAAGCAAGGCCTTCCTGACTGGGTCCTGTGGGTGGTCCTGCTGGCTCTTAAGCCCGCGCCCTGTGCTGAGACGGTATGGCTGCAGAGTGCGTCTGTTGATGGTGCCCTACTGTGCACACTCATCCTGCCTACTCATCTTATGGCAGCCCCACCTGGAGGCCGCCTGACTTCCCCACACGGAGGCGGCGTCAGCCTGGGGGCCTATCCAGGCCCCAGGCATCATGCTGTCATGGCATAGCATGCAATGGTGCCTTTATGTGTTCACCGAGGCTCTGGCCCCAGACCGTGGGCTCCGGGACATCATGTGTGTGGCTCCCTTAGCTCCCTGTCTTCCGTCAGAGCAGATGCAGGATGCAAGATGCAGAAGTGGGTTTACATTGACAAGAAAAGTTAGAGGGAGCAATGCTGAGCGTGGAGAGTGTGTTTCCGCTCGTGCACTGCACTTGCACCCCTGTAGCGGTTGACTCCCTTGTCTGTCCCTCCCCTGGGAACAGGGAGACAGCCCTGGCCACCTTGGGTCTGTCCTCCGCTGAGTGTGGCCTGGCACTGACCAGGTTGCGCTGGGCGCAGTGGACACAGGTGCCGCCGGGCGCAGTGGACACAGGTGCTGCCGGGTGCAGTGGACACAGGTTGCGCCGGGCGCAGTGGACACAGGTGCTGCCGGGCGCAGTGGACACAGGTTGCGCCGGGCGCAGTGGACACAGGTCCTGCCGGGCGAAGTGGACACAGGTTGCGCCGGGCGCAGTGGACACAGGTGCTGCCGGGCACAGTGGACAGAGGTTGCGCCGGGCGCAGTGGACACAGGTGCTGCCGGGCGCAGTGGACACAGGTGCTGCCGGGCGCAGTGGACACAGGTTGCGCCGGGCGCAGTGGACACAGGTTGCGCCGGGCGCAGTGGACACAGGTGCTGCCGGGCGCAGTGGACACAGGTTGCGCCAGGCGCAGTGGACACAGGTTGCGCCAGGCGCAGTGGACACAGGTGCTGCCGGGCGCAGTGGACACAGGTGCTGCCGGGCGCAGTGGACACAGGTTGCGCCGGGCGCAGTGGACACAGGTGCTGCCGGGCGCAGTGGACACAGGTGCTGCCGGGCGCAGTGGACACAGGTTGCGCTGGGCGCAGTGGACACAGGTCCTGCCGGGCGAAGTGGACACAGGTTGCGCCGGGCGCAGTGGACACAGGTTGCGCCGGGCGCAGTGGACACAGGTGCTGCCGGGCACAGTGGACAGAGGTTGCGCCGGGCGCAGTGGACACAGGTTGCGCCGGGCGCAGTGGACACAGGTGCTGCCGGGCGCAGTGGACACAGGTGCTGCCGGGCGCAGTGGACACAGGTTGCGCCGGGCGCAGTGGACACAGGTTGCGCCGGGCGCAGTGGACACAGGTGCTGCCGGGCGCAGTGGACACAGGTTGCGCCAGGCGCAGTGGACACAGGTTGCGCCGGGCGCAGTGGACACAGGTGCTGCCGGGCGCAGTGGACACAGGTGCTGCCGGGCGCAGTGGACACAGGTTGCGCCAGGCGCAGTGGACACAGGTGCTGCCGGGCACAGTGGACACAGGTCGCGCCGGGCGCAGTGGACACAGGTGCTGCTGGGCGCAGTGGACAGAGGTTGCGCCGGGCGCAGTGGACACAGGTGCTGCCAGGCGCAGTGGACACAGGTGCTGCCGGGCGCAGTGGACACAGGTTGCGCCGGGCGCAGTGGACACAGGTTGCGCCGGGCGCAGTGGACACAGGTGCTGCCAGGCGCAGTGGACACAGGTTGCACCGGGCGCAGTGGACAGAGGTTGCACCGGGCGCAGTGGACACAGGTTGCGCCGGGTGCAGTGGACACAGGTGCTGCCCTGCCTGTTTCCCGGTCCGAGCTGCCGAGTGCAGCGGGTCAGACTCACGCCCACGAGCTCCGTGGGAGGCGCCTGTCCCAGGCCCCCCAGGGGCAGGACGGGGAGGGCGCTGTCCTTGGTCGGACCTGGCTTGGCCTCCTCCTCTCTCCCGCCTCAGTGAATCCCCGGCACCTGCAGTGCTACTTGGCTCTCCCCAGGGGTCAGAGGTTGGAGATGGACCTGGTCTACTCTAGGCTTTCTCTGCATGAGGGAGCATGGTCAGCCTGCGGGCCGGCTGTCTTGGTGCACAGCTGCGTTCTGGATGCATCTGCGCACGCACACACACTTTCACAGTAACTCCTTCCCTCCCCCAGCCCCATCCAGCTGGAAGAGCTCTAATGAAATCAGAAACGCACGGGGTGGATGGTGTAGCCCAAGTCCCCTGCCCTTCACTCTCCCTCCCAACAAGGCCTGCCAGTGGGGAACGGATGCTCTCCACTGCTGAAACCAGCTTTGGCCATGTGGGTTTGGCCATGTGACCTGCATGGGCAGAAGTGACCAGGCCTCCTGACTCAGGCGTCAGAGGCCTCCTGTTCCCGCCTGTGGACGCTTCCAATCTCTTCCATGAGAACACGGTCCACGGCCCTGACAGCCCCTCAGCTGGGCCTAGAAAGGAAGGTGTTGAGGCTGCCTGAACCCCACTAACGCTCCTGGCCAGGGAGGGGGGTGGCAATTGGCAGCATTTCCTGGCCCACCGGATGAAATGAATGACCATGCTGTGGGCCACCGAGAGCTTTGGGGTTGTTTGTCACACAGCGGGATGGTGGCAGAGCCCTGACTGACACAGTGCACCCCTGGCAGCCCACGCGTCACGGCGGAGACAAGGCACCCTTGTCAGCCCCACTCACCCGTCACCCGTCTGCCCCAGGCTTCGCCCACCTGGCTCTCCCGTCCTTTCTCCCTCTGTCGCCAGACCCCTACCTGCCCAGCAGCTGGCCTAACGCTGCTCAGCCATCCCTCAGTCACAGCGTGGCCCACCCCCCGGACATTCCCCTCATCTCTCTGCGTTCTCGCCACAGGTCTGACAGTGTGGCCCCGGGCTGGGTCTGGGGGTAGCAGAGAGTAAGATTTGCAGGTCTTGCCTCGGGAGCCCCTGCAATCCCCCGGCCACAGGGAGGGAGGGTGGGCGGTGAACGCAGCCTGAGGGCGGGTGAAGGCGGTGGGGGAGGAGGTGCCCCTCTCCCGCCCAGAGGGAGTGGGGCGGGGAGCGCAGAAAACCCTCCGGAACTGAATTCACAGGAGCGGCCCGCACTCTGGGGCCCGCGGCCGCAGGTCGGAAGGGCACGCGGGGGGCGGTCAGGCAGCGTAATGAGCTTAATTGAGGTTAATGCCTCTTGCGCGGCTCCCTGATTATTAAATTATTATTATCACGCGCATGAATCATAATTAGAAGTTTGAGTAACGCTCCAGGGTAAAGCTCGGAGCATCGACTCGGGCGGGCCGTGACCCCCCAGGGCCCGGAGCGGGGTGGGCGGGGTGGGCGCGCGTGCCGCGTCGAAGGGGTGTCGGCGGCAGGGGTGGGGGTCGCTGTGTTGGCAGAGGGAAGCGTCCTGGGGCCGCGAGCGTTGTCTGCCGGTGTGGAGGCGGGGGCGTGCCCGAGGGCTGCCGCGCGGTCACCCGCAGTGCCGCCCCCCCGGACGGGGCAGCAGGACACTGGGGTGCGGGGGCCTGGGAGCCCCCGCGGCCCCCACGGCTCCCCCTGTCCTGCCGGGGTTTGTGACGGCACCTCCCCTCCCACCCCCACGGTGCCCTCCCGATCGCCGCCCCAGGAGGCCCCGGGCACTCCACAGGCTTTGGGGCCTGTCCGCGCGGCCCGCGTCCTGCGCCGCGTGTCACTCACACGCGTCCCCGCATGTCTGCCCCCGTGTGTGTGGGCGAGGTGGAAACCCCTGTGTGTCGTGTGGGTCCGACCTGCGCGTTGGTAACCGGCGCGCTCGTGAGCCTGCCGGCGGGGCTCCAGGGGAGACACCCCGAGGGCGGGGTGGGGGCGGGGTTGGGGGCTTTCTAGGCAGCACATTCGGACTCCTCCGCCCGGTCCTCGGGCCCCGCCCCTGCAAAGCTCCGCCCAGAGAATCCGGAGGAGAGAAGATGGGCTGGGAGCGCTGGGGAGGGTCCCAGGGCTGCTCTGCGGGAGAGAGGACCCCGCCTCCCCTCCTCTCCCCTCCCCTCCCCTCCCCTCCCCCGCCCCTCCCCCCCTCCCCCTCCCCCGCCCCTCCCCCCTCCCCCTTCCCCGCCCAGCCCCTCCCCCTCCCCCTCCACTTCTCAATTTATTTTCCTCTGTTGCAGAAACATATTGAAGGGGGAGAAAAAGGAAACATTAAGATCCACTGTGAGCCGCACAGCGGTTTAACGATTTCAAATGAGCCCCGGCTTGGGTGAGGACCCGACAATCGGCCGTCAGGATGGCAGATGACGGCTAAAATTACCCGGAATCAATATTCTCACCGGGTGTCCCGGGCTGATAAGCGCCGCCAAGACAATGTTGACTATTAAAGTCGACAGCTTGAGATATTACACTATTAGTTATGCTATTTTTAATAATCTATAATATTTGGGCTATAATTAATTAATTATACGGGTCAGATAATATCTCGGGCTGGAATGAGGTCTGAAGGACCTATTACGGTGGTAATGAGAAAGGGGAAATCTAATCTGAGGACAGGTGCAAGAGAGCCGCGTGCAGGCCCAGGACGCTGCCGCCCGTGCTCACCCCGGCTGCCTCTGCCCTGGACCAGCCCAGCGCGGCGGCCCCCGGAAGCAGGGCCTGTGGGTCACAGGTGTGGGTCTCTGCCTCTGAGCAGCTGGGGGGGCGAGGGGGGCCTGGACCTCCTCCAGGGATGCTCTGGGCCTCTGGTCCCCGGACGCCCCCTCTGCTTCACTGCTTCCTGGTCTCTCTCACATGGAAGCTGGACTGAGGGTTTCTGGTCCAAGCTGCTCAGGGCTCAGATCACAGGCCTCGCCTCGCGCCCATCCAACCTCTTCCCAACACAGGGAACAAAACCCAGGCCTGCTCTCAGTCTGGAGGACCTCTCCAGACTCACCCAACCCGCTTCCTCCCACCCCCGGCCAGGAGGCCTTCCTGCCGCAGCCCCAGGTCCTTTGCACTGGCTGTTGTTCCAGCTGCCCACCTTCTCACTGACACACATTTCACTTTTTCTCATTGACGCTCACTTCCAGCGGCGCCTCCCCGAAGGCCCTGTCTCAGGTGCCCCCACCACAAACGACTGTCGATTTGCTGGAGCGGGAATGGGGGGTCGGTGCTGCTGTTCCTGAGGGCACAGACCCAGGGAACCGCGGTCTGGACGAGGGCCACATGCGGGTGTGCCGGCCCGGCTGAGCTCAGCGGGGCCACCGCCCCCCTGGCTGTGCTCCAGCCATGGGAGCCACCCTGCCCTCGCTGGGGTCCTTCCCCCAAACCACGCTATGGGCTGCTTCCCAGGAGTGCAGTCCTGCTCGGATAGGCTGCGGGAAGGTGGGAAGGGGCACTCTGTCTGCCTGCCTGGGGGCCTGCGGCCTCAGAAGAGCCCGGGGTCTGGACGTCCTGATGGGGTGGGGACCCTGCAGGGCTGCCACTCGTCACCCCGGTGCCTCCTCTTCTGGGTCAGCCCCCAGCCACTGCCCAGCTTGCCCCCGCCTGCCCGCACCTCCTCACGGCTAGCTGCTGCAGTGCTGGGTGGTGGGAGGAGGGCACTCCGTCTGCAGGGAATTTAAAACAGAAGCGAGACCATCAGCAGCTGGCCCCTTCCAACTGTCACCAGCATGGCGCGTCTAAACGATGTCAGTGATAAATATTCCTCCCGGAAAAAAATGCTTTGTCGGTCCAAGCTCTAGACAGTGGCTGTGGTTACTGCAGAGTCTGTAGAAACGTCTGTGAACTTCCGACTCCACATCGCTCAGCTTCTCCCTGTGTGTGAGCGTCACCCACACAGACGCTGATCGGGACCCCAGGCCCCAGACCGGCTGCACCTGTTGCCGTCTCGGTGTTCTACTCTCAGCCTCGTGCAAAGAGCAGGCCCCACATAAAGACCCAGAGACGCGGGACCTGTGACCCCGCCGTGCCGCTCCAGGTGCCATCCTCACAGCTCCGGAGTGGGCCCCAAGGGCACCTTCCAGTGCACCAGGGGGTCCTGCCCAGGACCCGGGAGTGGAGGAAGGACGGTAGTGGGAGAAAGCTGGCGAAACCCCGGCCAGGCTTCCCTCGACTGTTTCCCAGCCCTGCCGTCCATGGGGACAGGTGTGTGGTGGGCAGTGGGGAGGAGCTGACCCGGGGGCCAGGAGGAGCCTTCCAGAGCTCCTTGCCACACTCTGCATCTCTCTCTCAGACCTGAAGTTATTCCCAGATGAAAATTTTACTAAAATACTAAATTTTACTTAAAATTATTAAAATTACTAAAATTTTAACGTGATCTAAAAGTACCAACCCATTACCTTTTCCTTTTCTTTGCATTTTAGTATTAAATTGGTTAGATTTTTTACTGATGATGTAAAAATTCAATGAAAGAAAATCCTCACCATTGGTGTTTATTGTCTGTCCAGTTCAGTTCAGTCACTCAGTCGTGCCTGACTCTTTACGACCCCATGGACTGTACCACACCAGGCCTCCCTGTCCATCACCAACTCCTGGAGTTTACTCAAACTCATGTCCATCGAGTCGGTGATGTCATTCAACCACCTCATCCTCTGTCGTCCCCTTCTCCTCCTGCCTTCAATCTTTCCCAGCATCAGGGTCTTTTCCAATAAGTCAGTTCTTCACATTAGGTGGCCAAAGTGTTGGAGCTTCAGCTTCAGCATCAGTCCTTCCAATGAATATTCAGGACTGATTTCCTTTAGGATGGACTGGTTGGATTGCCTTGCTGTGGTTGCTTATTTTCTGATAACTGCTGGCAAGAACCATCCGCGTGCCCCTGGTCTCAAATCCTGGTGGCCGCCGGCTCTTGGGGCCCCAGTGCAGCGCCCCCGCCCCAGGCTCCTCTCCGCACCTCTCCCCTCTCCCGGGCCTTCCGTCACCCTCCCACCAGCATGGGTGGGCATTTGGGTTCCCGCTCACCTCCCATGTACAGCGGGTGTGGAACCGCTCCAGCGCTGTCAGCAGAGAAGGGGTGATACACTTAGGCCCCCGGGATCGAGGCCTGCGGAGACAATGGGCCAGGAGCCCTGGTTTGGGGGCAAGGCTCCCAGTGGAAGAGGGAAGCCCGCTGACTGGGCCGGGCCCGTGGTGTCCCCCTCTGACCCCAGAGGGGACATGCTGACGAAGGTGCCGAGAAGTCAAAACGTCTCCCGGGCGCCCGCTTCCCTCCCGTCCTGTTTTCTGCCTTTGGAAGCTCAGCCGTCGGTGCTGTGTGTCCAGTGGCAGGGGCCGCTCTTCTGCCCCGTGTGACGTCGCGAGCCGGGCTCGACCCTCAGCTGGCCCGTCATCACTCAGGTGGCCGGGGTGCTCAAGCGCCGTGGTGGGGCCTGGTTTATCTTAGATCCCCTCTTTAGGAGACAGCAGACACGAGCTGCCAGGTGGAAGCGAAGTCCTGCTTGGCCCTGAGCTCCCAGGCGCCAGGCAGGCAGATCCGCTGTCTGGCCGTGAGTTTTGTTTGGCGAACGCTGGTCCCGTGTGGGTTTTGTGAACTGCCTTTGCCCCTCTTCTATCTGTTCAACTGTTGGGGTTGTTGTGCTGTAATAATAGGTTAAAAATTCTTAATTATAAAGTATTTCAGACACACAGAGAAACAGAGAAGCGTATAATCAGCTCCAATGATTATTGACATCTTGTCTCTGGGTTCATCCATTCATAGCCACACTTTTCTTTCCGGAATACTTTAAAGTGTATCTCCAGATATCAAACCGTTTCACCTGTGACTATTTCCACCAAGAAAAACAAGCTGAAAAAAAGGTATCCAGATGGGGAAGGAAAAAACACAACTGTCGCACATACAGACAACACGATTACCCACAGAGAATCCCATGGACTGACCTCCCGGGGCTCAGAAGGTTGGCAGCTCAGAGGATGCGCCCTGGAAAAGTCAATCACATTTCTGTCTGCTAGCGATCAGTCACTGGAAGCTTGAAAAATGTACAGTACCTTCAGGCCTAGGGGTTCCTTCCTGTCCCTGGTTCTGAGTCTTATGATGATCGGATGTCACATTTTGTGACGCTTTTTCTGCAGCTGCTGGTGTGACCACAGGCTCTTTTTGGTCTGTGCCTGGAGCACTTGCTCCACCAGCCTCAGCTGGAGGACAATCATGGCTGTTGCAGTGTTGACCCTCTCTGCCGTTGTGGGATGAACCCTCTTGGTCTTAGCATGCTTGTTCTTTTTATCTGTTGCTGGATACAGTTTCCTAGTATTGTGTTGAAGATTTTCGCATGGTTGTTCATCACAGGTGTTCTTCTGTAGCTTTTTATCTGGTTCTCCCTCTGTCAGCTGTTGGAATTAGGGTAATGCTGGCCTCATAAAATGGGAGTGTAATCTCTTCTGTTTTCTCAGAGTTTAGGTAGAATTGGTTTTATTTTTAATCTATAACCATTTTGAAGAATTTGTCAGTGAAACTATCAGAGTTTGGAGTTTTTTTATTTGAAAGGTCATTAACTATGGAGCCAATTGCTTCAGTAGTAGGGGGATATTCAGGTTGCTAGCTCTTGGGTAAGTTTTGATAGCTTGCGGATTTCAGGAAGTTGGTCCGTGCATTGGAACTGCTGCGTTGGCGCGTGTAGAGCTGTTCCCGACGGTCCTCTGAATGTCTGTGGGTTCCGTGGTGAGGGCTCTTTCTTCACCCCTCTTACTGGTCATCTGTGTCTTCCCTCTTTTTCCCCTCTTCAGTCTACCTAGAGGTTGATGAATTGACTTTCCCAAAGAACTGATTCTTGATTCCATTGACTTTTTGTAGCGTTTTTCTGGGTTTTCGCTTCAGTGATCGGGCTTCACCTTTGCTACTTCCTTCCTTCTGGCTGCTTTGCGTTTCCTTTGCTCTTATTTTTCTAGTTTGCTAAGAAGAAAGCTGAGATCACTGAAGTCGTCTTTCTTCTTTTTCAATATAAACACTAATGCCATAAATTTCCCTTCTAAACACTGCTTCAACTGCAATCCACAAGTAATTGTGATATTTAAAGGTTTTCATTTTCATTTAGTTCAAAACTGTTTTCCAGTTTCCCTGGAGACTTCTTTGATCCGCAGGTGATTTTGAAGTTTGCTCCCCTCCAGGCGTCGGGGATTCCTGCTTGCTGGTTTATTGTTGGCCGCGCTGGGCCTCAGCTGCTGCGGGGCTTTCTCCTCTGGTTGCGCAGAGTTGGTGTCTCGCTGCGGCAGCGCGTCCACTGCGCAGCGGGGCTCCAGAGCCCAGGCTCGGTAGCTGCGGCCAAGGGCTTCGTCGCTCTGCGACATGTGGCATCTTCCCAGGCCGGGGGTGGAACCCGTGGCTCTTACATTAGCAGGTGGACTCCTTACACTGAGCCACCGGGGAAGCCCTGCATCTGGGATTTTTGACGATCTCTTACCGCTACCGATATCTACTTTAATTTCATTGTGGTCGACATCATTTTCCTTAAGTTGAATTCTTCAGATTTCTTAGGTTGATTTTATAGCCTGGCATATGCTCTCTCTGGAGAGTGTTGCTTGTGCATTTGAAAAGGATATTATTTTGCTGTTGTTAGATGTGGAGTGCCGTTCTATAATGTCATTTAGAAACATTGGTCGATGGTGTTGTCCAGTTCCTCTATTTTCCCGGGGATGGTCTGTCTACTTGTTCTACTGACATGGAGAGAGGACCCCACAGCTGTGGGTTTGCCGGTCCTGCTTCCAGTCCTCAGTTCTTGCTTCATGTGTTTTGAAGGTCGTGTTGCTCAGGGTGTTAGGTGAATGCCCGTCTGGGCTTGCGTGTCTCCTTGATTAATTGGCCCTTTTATCATTATGTAATGTTTCTAGTTACCCCAAGTAGTTTCCTTTATCTTATATTATTAATGCCACTTCAGCTTTCTTCATTACTGTTTCCAAGTGATATATGTTTAGATTCTTTAACTTTTTCCCTGGTTTTATTGAGATGTAATTGACTGCACTGTGTAAGTTTAAGGTGTAAGCATAACAATCTGGTTTACATATATCATGAAGCGGTTATCACAATCATTTAGTGAACATCTGGGGTAATTATTTTTTAGTGATTGTTCTTGAGATTATAATACTCTTTGAGCCCCCAGGGAAGTCCCGTTACATCTACAGATATTCAAAATTCCCTCAGAGAATGTTATAATTTTTGCCCTCAACTATCATGCATTTTAAAGAAGTGAGAAGAGGGCCTGCTCTGACGGCCCGGTGAGTAAGACGCCGCGCTTCCACCGTTCGATCCCTGGCCAGGTTGTGCTGCTGTGCAACCAAAAACTTTTTTTAAAACAAAAATAAATTTTAAAAAGTAAGAAGAAAAACACGATTTTACCCAGACATTTATGATTTCTCTTGCCTCATTTTTAAAGTTTCAAGTTTCGTTCTGATATAATTTTCATTCTACCTGAAAGCCCCCTTTAGCATTTCTTCTAGAACAAGTTCACTAGTGACAAATTCTCTTAGTTTCTCTTTGTCTGAGAGTGTCTTTCTTTTGTCTTAATATCTGAAGGGCATTTTTACTGGATACAGAATCTGGGTTGACATTTCATTCCTGTTAGCACGTAAAAACGTTCGTTCCCCTGCCTTTTTGTTTTCATGATCTCGGCCAGAAGCCCACAGTCGTTTCGCTGTTTCCCTCAGATAACCAGCTTCCTCTGGCTGCTCTCGTGGTTTTTTTTTTTTTTTGTCTTCGGTTTTCAGTGGTTTGATTATGATGTTTCTGGGAATGAATTTGTTCTGTGTTTACCTTCTTTGGCATTTACTGAGCTTTTTGAGTCTGTAAATGTATGTCTTCTAGCAGATTTTGGATGTTTGGGGTCTCTATTTCTTCAAATATGTGTTCTATACTCTGTCCCCTCCTCCTGGGACTTTGTGTTGGGCATATATCAGTTCTTCATTCCTTTTTCTTGCCTATTAGTATGTCATTGTACAGACATACCACATTTTCTTTCTCTAATCATCTGTTGATGGACATTAGGAATAATGCTGCTATGAACATACCTGTACAAGTTTTTGTGTGGGTGTAATGATTTTATTTCTCCTGGGTAGATACCTAGGAGTGGAATTGCTGGGTCACTGGGTAACTCTATGTTTAATCATTTGGAAAACTGCCAAACTGTTTTGAAAGTTTTAAAATGGCTATACCATATTACGTTCCCTCCAGCACCACATAAGTGTTCCAATTTCCCCACCTCCTTGTTAGCATTTACTATTATCTGACTTTTTGATTTTAACCACCCTAGGGAGTGTAAAATGGTATCTCATTGTGGTTTTGATGTGCATTTCTCTGATGACCAGTGACACTGAGCATCTTTTCCATGTGTTTATTGGCCATTTGCACATGTCTCTTGAAGAAATGTCTATTCAGATCATTTGCCTATTTTTAAACAATTATTTGGTCTTTTTTTAATTAAATAAAGTTTTTATTGTTATTCTTGCTATCATTATATTGGAGAAGGCAATGGCACCCCACTCCAGTACTCTTGCCTGGAAAATCCCATGGACGGAGGAGCATGATGGGCTCCAGTTCATGGAGTCGCGAAGAGTTGGACACAACTGAGTGACTTCACTTTCACTTTTCACTTTCATGCATTGGAGAAGGAAATGGCAACCCACTCCAGTGTTCTTGCCTGGAGAATCCCAGGGACAGGGGAGCCTGGTGGGCTTCCGTCTATGGGGTCGCACAGAGTCGGACACGACTGAAGCGACTTAGCAGCAGCAGCAGCAGCAGCAGCTGTCATTATATAAAAATATGTATTTTGGCAGCCTTACAAAATTAATTTTAAAATACTTCCCCCAAATTTTTGCATTGAAAGTAATATCTTTATGCCCTGCTTTAAAAGAAAGAAAGTAATTAAATTTTCAGGCTCATCCTATCTACTTTTTTTTTTCATTTATTTATATTAGTTGGAGGCTAATCACTTTACAATATTGTACTGGTTTTTGCCATACATCGATATGAATCAGCCATGGATTTACATGTGTTCCCCATCCTGAACCCCCCTCCCACCCCCCTCCCCATCCCTATTTGGTCTTTTATTATTGAATTTTAAGAGTTCTTTGTGTATTCAAGATACAACATACTTGTCAGATATATGATTTGAAAATACTGTCTCCTCTTCTCAAGGATGTCATTGTACGTTCTTGATAGTGTTCTTTGAAGCACAGATATTAAGTTCATCTATTTCCCTTTTTGTTGTCGATGCTTTTGCTATCTAAGAAGCCATTGCCAAGTCTGAGACCGTGAATATTTACCCCTATCTTCTTCCTAAGAGTTATATGACTCTGGTTCTTACATGGTTTTCAATCCATTCAGAGTTAATCCTTGTATGTGGTGTGAGGTTAAGGGTTAAGCTTTATTCTTTTGCATGTGGATATTCTGTCTTCCCAGCGCCATTTGTTGAAGAGTATTCCCTACCCGTTGACTAGTCTCAGCACCACTGCAAACGATCAGTTGACCAGAGGCACAGGCTCTGTTTCTGGACTATTCGAGCCCCCTCTCCTTTCTGTCTGTCCTTGTGGCGGCAGCACGCTGTCGGAACGATCGTCACTTCACCGGCTTTGAAGCTGGGGAGAGCGAGTCCTTCTGTTTTATTCTTCTTTTCCAGGATCGTTGTGGCTGTTCTGAGTCCCCCACAGCTCCATGAAAACTACAGAAGCAGCTTGTCAACTTGTACAAAGAAGTCTGTTAGGATTCTGAAAGGGATTTCAGTGACTCTGAAGACCAGTTTGGAGAGCACTGTCATCCTAAAACAGAATTAAGTCTTCGCAAACATGACCGCAGGTATCGCTCCATCTCATCAGGTCTTGATTCCTCTCAGCAATGTGGCCAGTGTCCCCATCTTACACCCTCTTGGTTAAATTCATTTTTTAAATTTTTTATGGGATTTTAAATGAAATTGTTTTATTAGTTTCATTTTCAGATAGTTTATTAAGATTACAGTTTTAAATTTCATTAATTTGCAATTTCGTTTTTCTTCTCTTATGCCAAAAATCCTATTTCCTAATGATGTTAACATGATTACTTGTATGCCTCATCCTACAATGTACCTACAGTAATTTCAAAGTAGCAGTGCCACTGTCTGTGTCAGTAAGATCAGCCAGTATAAAGATTTCTCAATGCAGCTCATTTGTTTGTGCTTATACCGCACTTCACTCAGCACATACATGTCAATAAAAGCGCTGGGCGCTGCGGTCGAGTGGAGTGAGCCTTTTTTCTGTTTGGATCCCTGGTTCTATTTTGTCTTAAAATTTGGTGAATTGATATTTTCTTTGTTTATTAAATTTTTTATTTTGTAAAACCTTTGTTGTTCAGTCATCAAGTCGTGTCTGACTCTGCAAGACTGCAGAACGCCAAGCACCTCTGTCTTTCACTATCTCCTGGAGCTTGGTCAGATTTATGCCCTTTGAGTCAGTGATGCCATCCAACCACCTCATCCTCTGTCACCCCCTTCTCCTCTTGCCCTCGACCTTTCCCAGCATCAGAGTCTTTTCCAACGAGTCGGCTCTTGGCATCCGGTGGCCAGAGTGCTGTGAAACCTTCCTGCGGTTCCAGCGTGCAAACCCCACAGCTCAGGGCCTGCACAGTTGTCTTGCCTCCCTCCCGGCCGCCACCCTGTTCTCTCCACCCCGTAGGTAACTGCTTTAATTCATGTTCTGTTCACCTTCTCATCCTTCTTTTCTGAAAACACTGGTGGGTAGGCAGAGCTGTCCACAGTCTCCTCTCTTCTCCTAAAGAGAGGTACCATCCATTGTGCCCTATGCGGACCCAAGGCTGGCACTGTTCACCCTTCCATCCTCACCGCCCCAGCCCCACTCCTGGGGTGTCTGGAGACAAGGGAGCGTGCCCTCGGGTTTGGCTTTAAAACGAGCCCCATTGCCCCTGTGCCCCGTGAGACGCCCTCATCTTAAGCTGCCTTGGCCCTTGGACCAGCGGTTGACGCCACCAGCCCTGACTACGACCCAAGCACCCCCACCTGCCATCGGGGGCGGGGGAGGGGGTGAGGCGGGGGGAGGGGGCGAGGCGGGGGGAGGGGGCGAGGCGGGGGGAGGGGGCGAGGCGGGGGGAGGGGGCGAGGCGGGGGGAGGGGGCGAGGCGGGGGGAGGGGGTGAGGCGGGGGGAGGGGGCGAGGCGGGGGAGGGGGCGAGGCGGGGGAGGGGGCGAGGCGGGGGGAGGGGGTGAGGCGGGGGGAGGGGGCGAGGCGGGCCTCCTCCGGGCGCGCTGGGCGGGGCCTCCCTGCACGCCGGTCACTTTGCCGGTTCTCAGAAAACTCCACGTGACAGCATGTTTGGTCTCAGCGATGTTTGCTGTCCATCTGCGCGTTCAATGGACAGGCCTGAAGGGCAGTGGTGAGTGCCACGGGGCCAGGGCGCCTGCGTAGGATGCAGGACAGATAGGAGCCCCAGAGTCCACAGGAGAGGCCAGCCCTCCGTGGCCCCTCCCCGGGCCCTGGCGGGTGGAGGGGCTCCTGGCTGGGGGGAGGTGGTCTGGGACCGGTCGTCCGACAGCCCCCTGCAGTGTCTGATGCCTCCAGCCACCTCTCCTGGTCCTTGTCCCCCAGCCCGACCACCACTTGGGGGACTGGGGCCCGGGAAGCAAGGAGTCCCCGCTGTCCTGCTCCACAGCTGAACAGGCTGCCGAGGTGGGGTCTGTGCCTCTGACCCCCAGGCTGCAGGATGCCTGTCCACCGCAGCGGGTGAGGGTCCGTACGTCCCCGCCTGGTGTCTGAGGCTCTCCTTCCTGGGAGCTGAGTGTACTGGGTGGCCCTTTAATGAACGGGATCTTCTGTGACAACCACGTCGGTCCTCAGCCTTAGTTTACCAATCTGTAAGGGGGGTGATGCAGGAACAGAAGCGCTTCCTCCTGGAAGGCATCCTGGAAGCGTGTCCGGCGCACCTGGCTTGTAGGAGGCACCCGGGGTCCGGCCTCTCTGGTTTCATCCTTGCCGCCTGTCAGCTCCGTCCATCAGGCTGACCGCCTGCCGGAAGGCCGGAGGGCTGGTCCTGGGAGGGAGGCCTCCAGGCCCTCGTTCAGCGCCGTCTCTCGGGACCAGGGCCAGGGCCCGGGCCCCGGCACTGAGGCCGTCGGCCGTTCACGGGAGGAGGTGTGAGGGGAGGCGTGGGGACAGCAGGGTGTGAGGGCGGCCAGCCACGTGGCCTGGCCACGGCTCCCACTCGGGGCTCAGCTGCCTGAGGGCCACCACAGTCCACTGCTTGGCTTGAAGCTGGGGGCCTGAGGGCCGGAGCGGCCACTGCGGGAGCTGGTGCAGCTCCTGGCCTGGGGGCAGGTGGGCCTGTAGGGGGAGCAGGTCAGCCTCCCCCCACTCCCCGTCCCCCACCCCTGTCGCCCCCGGATGAAATGGGGCTTCCCGCAGGGTTGGGCCCACGGTCTGAGCTGTGAGAGCCGAAACGCGGGCAGCAACCCACGGGCCAGGGCTGGGCTCCAGGGTCCACAGAGGCTCGGTTTCAGAGCACAGTCAGTCCATTGGTCAACAAACCTCACGGGGCCTGGGGACACAGGAGTGAGCACGCTCAGGGCTTCCTGCCCGGGAGCGCCCCACCTCGAGGGCAGGCATGCCCAGACAAGCAGAGCGGGCTCAGGCGGGCCCCGCACCAGGGCGTTCGCTGTGGACGCAGCGGGGTGGGCCTTCTCCTGGGCCGGAGCTGGGGGAGGGACTGGGGCCGGGTGGACCCCCATGACGACCTGCACAACCGAGTGGGGGCCGTCAGGGCTGAGAGAAGCGGGTGGGTGGGGCTCTGGCAGGAGCACTGGCCCCGAGTGGCGAGTGGCGGTGAAGGGGGTCTGAGATGGGGTTCCCACCCACCCTTCCAGCCGCTGGGAGGGCCTCCGGGGACATGTCTGTGCCAGCCACACACCTGGTCTGGCCTCCCGGAGTCCTGGCGGGCCCCCGCAACCAGAAGTGTCCACGGAGTCACCCGCACCATCTCCAGGCTCCAGGCCCAGGTCAGGGTCCCTGAGCCAGGACGACTGTCCCCAGGGCAGAGGACTCTGGGCTCGGTGGGCATCCTCTGCCTGCCGGGAGCTGACGTCAAGGGGCTGCAGGCCAAATCCTGGTCTGCGGGGCAGAGTCTCGGACGGGCTGGGAAGGTGCCAGGGGAGGGACAGGAGTTGGGAGGGCCGTGAGGGGCTGGAGACCTTGGGGCTCCTCCGCCAGGGGCTGGCGTGGCAGCCTTGGGCACCGCTGGTCCCCCTCCAACCCCAGCCTTGGGCCAACCTGTTCTCTGTGCACGAGCCCATCCCCCCCAGGACGGAGCAGGGAGCAGCAGGCGCCCGATCCTCAGGAGCCTTAGGAGCCAGCAGCGGGTGTGGCTGCAGGCAGGCGCAGTCCCATGAGGCGCTCACTCCCCAGGTGATGCCCTGGGTCTTCAGCATGTGTGGGTTGTGGGTCACGTCCGGTCAGGCAGGACACGGACGTCGGGGAGATGCACGCGGTCTCTGGTGGCCTCCCTGGGCTGGGGCCGCATGGGGGCTCAGACCCCAGCACCGCCCGCCTGCCCACGGGCTTCCCTCTGACCCAGACAGCCCCACAGCGCCAGTCTGCTCCATGTCAGTACAGACTCTTCACTCTGGCCGCTCCTCCGGAAGCCCAGGCCCACTTCAGGGGAAACCCAGGGTGGTGGAGGGTCAGTGCGGGGACCCGGGGTCAGGGGGCTGCCATGACTGCAGTGTCCTCAGGGCCCCTCCCTCCCAGGGGGATGGGACCTCCACCCCACCCCACCCCCAGCAGGCACCCAGAACCCAGCCCAGCAGGCCTCCAGGGTCTCCCAGAGCTCACAGGCTCCAGATCCAATCTCACTGGTGGTCCCACCTGGAGACGGGCGAGAAGGGGCAGGAGACTCGGGCCGAGGCCCTGTCAGAGAAGCCCCGGGAGTCGATTCTGAGTGTCAGTCCTCTGAGGCAGAGGAGGGCCGTGGTCCTGCGGATGTTTCTGCCTGTGCTGACGCACTGGCTCCATATCAAGGCCAAGGTCAACACCCTAAACTGTCCCCCAGTGCCTGGCCAGGCCTGACGGCGCACAGTCAGAACTGGCCCCGCTCCCTTCTCCCCACCCGGCTGGGTGGAGAGCTTTCTGCATCAGACCATCCGATGGTGGGGCCCATGCGCTCCTCGGGGGAGTCCCGCTGCCCCACATGGCCCCCCACTTTGTGCCCTTGGCTCTCTCCCGTCGCCCTGTACCCAAGGCCCCACCCCCTCCGTCTCCTCTGCAGGCTTCCCGGCAGGTTGCCTTCCTGGGCTCCAGGCCTGTCCACTGGCTGCCCACTGGGCCCCCCTTCTGGGGGTCCGGAGCACAGAATCCCTCTCCGCCACACATCCAGAGAGACCCCTGGGTCCCCGCCGGCCCCTGACACCGCCCCCCCCCCCAAGCCAGGTGGCCTCACCACCGCTCCAGCCCAGCATTCCTCACCTCCTGTCTGACCACGCAGTCCTCACACTCTGGACTTGGGGTACTGCCTGACGGGCCGCCCTGGGCTCCCCTGAGAACCCTCCTCACCTGGTCCTTAAAAGTGCACCACCCAGGAGGCCTCCCCACGTCCGCCTGGATGCCCAGTCCCCCCATCAAGTCCTGCAGCCGCCCCCCACCCTGGCACAGCGGGGGGGTTGCCCCTCTTCTGAGAGGCCTGAGCTGACTTCTTACCTGGGATGGGCCCCCATCCGCAGCATAGCCGCGGCGAGCTGCGTGACAGGGCCGGTCTGTCCCCAGGCAGGGGCCCAGCGCTGCGGTCAGTGATCGGGCAGGACAGACCGCCAGCTGGCAGGTTGAGAGCCCGCCACTCGACCTCCCCCTGCTGCCTGCCTAGGCTGCCACCCTGAGGGGCCACGAGCCCCCAGACCCTCCTGGGCCTGCGGGGCTGCGGCTGGGACCTCAGGCCGCCATCCGGGGCGGGTGTGGGTCCGGGGTCGGCGCTGCCCGCCCCCGGCTTTCATGCTGGCGAAGCCCAGCACCTCGCGGGCGTCCACCCCCCAGAGCCAGAGCCTAGGAAGTGGCTTGGTCAGCTTCCTCGTAAACCACGTCCTTGCGAAACCGGGGAGCCAGGAGCAGGAGGCTCCGTAGATGGAACTTTTACTGCCGTTGCCAGAAATAAAGCAAGCCCAGGACCGGGGCCACCGTTTGCGGGCCCGCGAGTCCCCCTCTCTGCTTTAAGTGTCTGTCACACGAAGGGACACATGCAGCCCACCGCCGCCTCCTGCAGGCTGAAGGGGGCTCCCAGGCCTAGCCCCCAGGCTGCGCTTGGCAGTAACCGTGACCTTCAGGCGGAGGGGGCGTGGTGGCGGTCCCCGGACGGGAAGGCCTCTCGGCTGTGTGTGGGCGGCAGGCATGGGCGGCAGGGTGTGTGTCCTGTGCTCCTGCCGCGCGCAGTGTCTGCACAAGGGGATGCCATGGGCGGGCTTGGAGGAGGGGCTGGGGGCCCCAGGACCCGCTGCTGCCGCTGAAGATGGCAGGCTGGAAAGATGGGCTCCAGGCTGGCGTCCTCTCTGGGACCCCCCCAGTCGCACGGCTCCCTGCAGCCCCCCTCCCCTCCCTTCCCGGCAACGGTCCCGGAGGCTGGAGGCCACTGGCTTGCAGGATCTGCTTCCCACACGGAGCTCCGTGCTGGGCCTCCCACTGTGGTCTCCGTGTCTCTCCTGGTCAGTTGGGTTGGCTTTCAGGGGCTCCTTCAGGACGTGTCTGTGTGATGCTTCAGGGATGTCAGTTCCAGTAACCTTCCTCTCCTGGAGAAATCTGAGGCCGCCCGGGGGTCTAGCTCCGGTTTCCCCGGTTTTCTCCCGTGGGTTCCCCTCGGCTGTGCTCCTTCTTGGCTTAGGTGTCCTGGACCATATTCTCAAGTCTCAGTGATGTTTTCTTCAATTTTTAAAATCTCCTGGAATCTTGGTGTCGTATGTTGGTTTGGTTCAGCAGCGCTCATCTGTCTCGTGGGCGTCAGCTTCTCCGACCAATCAATCCTAGCAGCCCAACTCCATGGCCCCGACTCCATGACCCCAACTCGGTGACCCCAACTCCATGGCCCTGACTCTGTGACCCCAACTCCGTGACCCCGACTCCGTGACCCCAACTCTGTGACCTTGACTCCGTCACCCCGACTCCGTGGCCCCCACTCCGTGGTGGGGTGCCCTCTTTTGCTGTAACCAAAGTACCCTTGTTTGAATCAACAAGTCGAGTGGCTCACGTGAAGCTTGTATTTTTCACTCTAGCTTCTTCCCCAAGAACTGTCAGCTCATTTGTCATTCCCTTTCATTGTCTTTCTTTCTTGAGTTTTTGTTATTTCTGGTTTGAACTCTGGATTCATCTCTCGGAGGCCATTTCTGTCATCTGCAAATTCATTGCTTTTTATAGAGAACTGTTTGGTCAAATTTTTGTCTCTTCTTTGGCAAGATGTTCCTGGAAAGTGTTCCTTTGCTTTGGTTTTTCCGTCTGTCTGCCTGCCTCTGCTTCTATCGCAGGCTCACAGCCTCTCCAGTGGACTCTGTCCCGGGCCCCTCACCCACTCCTGTCACGGCCGCTTTGAGTGAGGGACCCCCATGGAGGGGTCACCCGTGGAGCCTCTTCCTGCTGTGACTCCAGGTCTAGGAAGCAGGAGAGCTGAGGTGGCGTGAGGCAGGCGTGCATGCACATGTGTGCATGTGCATGTGTGTGTGTGTGCAGCCGCCGTGTGCCTCCCTCCACGGAGCCATGCAGGAGATGCTGCTTGCCTGCCCTTTGCCCCCACCCCCTCCCGCTGTGCCGGCGAGCCCCTGCCGGGCAGAGGAAGCTGGTGCTGCCGGGCAGCCTGTCCCGGGTGGCTGAGCGCTGGGGTGCTGCCCCTCACGTTCTGGGGAGCCGTTCTCAAGGCCCCCCAGCCCCCAGCCCCCAGCGCCGGCCTGTGCTGAGCGGGTGGACAGGTCACGGGGCATAGGCGGCAGTGCTGGGCTGGATGTCCTCGCCGTCCCCGCTGAGGGTGGGAACTCTGCGTGGTCTCCAGGCTCAGGCCCGGCCCCACAGGGTGGCCCCGGGCTGTTCTCCCCCGAACCCTGCGGCACCCGCCCCGGTCCTGCCCAGCCCCCTCTCCTGACACAGCCTGCTGCCGGGGCTCCCCGATGTCCGGGTGGCCCCGCGGGAGGGGCCTGGGGGTGGGACACCACCCCCGCCGCGACGTCCCTCCAAGGCGCTGAGCGCGACTTAAGGGCGGGCCCGGGGCAGGGCTGGGCGCCTCCTGTTCCCACCCGAGCTGTCGTGCGGGACCCCACTGGCCTCAGCTCCCAGGTCCCATGTCCAGCTGGGCACTCGTGGCCGCTGGCGCCTTTTATCTCCGGGGACAGTAGCTCCCTGCATGGGAGGGGAGGGGAGGGGAGCGCTGGGCCTGTGGGCCGTCCTGAGGTGGGCAGAGCCGGGACTGTGGCTGTTGGGGCGTGGGCATCTTCCTTCGGGGCGGGAAGGGGCAGAGGGCTCGTGCCCCCCCAGGCTGGCTGGCAGGGGCCCCCCGGGCTGAGCCCAGAGGTGCGACAGCCCGGCGCTTTCTTCCGAGTGGGGCCGTGGGAGCCCACGGAGAGTGAGCCCACCTCCCACCCTCATAACTATTGTTAATTAAGACTGTCTCCATTATGGCGCTAATTAACAATTAGCATAAACATAATTAGCCAGCGCTGACATTTAACTCATTACATTGTTTAAATAATTTTCGGAAATCCCCCCCGAGCGGCATTCTGTCAGCCTGCAATAATAGCGGCACTTTGTCATGTAAATTAAACGACACAGTTTGTTGTCTCCTGGCTCCTCCGTGGGAGACGGTGGCCACGGGCCACAGGTCCTGCCGCGGTCAGCCTGTTCCTGCCCAGCAGTGCTGTGGGAGGCAGGGGGAGCGCAGGCTGGCCTGTCCCTCCCCAGGGTCCCCTGACGTGGGCATGACGGCCGGGTGCCCCCCACCCCGAGGAGAGCGCGGGCCCCAGGCCCCAGGACAGAGGGAGACCCTGCAGAGTCCGGGGATGGAGGCTCTGGGGCTCAGATTCCAGCAGGTTCCCAGGGCAACCTCGCCCCTCAGCTGCGGCCCGTGTCCCCTCCTGTGCCCCCAAGCCCCTCCTGCAGGGGCGGGTCTTGGTGCCCCAGGGTGGAGGCGGAGGGGACACCTGGCCGGCCCTGCGAATGTCGGGGCAAGAGCCGGGCCCTGCAGCCCACCTGGAGCCCGCGGTCACCACCCTCAGGAGGGCCCACAGCCCGAGCTGGGGGCCACGGGCATCGGGCCAGGCGCAGACCCTCCTCCTCCACACGAGGGACCCCGAGCAGGCCCAGCCTCTCTCCAGCCCCTGGCCCAGGCCCTCCTTGGAGTCCCGCTCGGGGCCAGGGTCCGAAAGGCCTGACCCAGGGGCCTGCACCATCCTTGCCGCTGCGGAGAGGGTGCCCTGAGCAACCTTGCATCCGCGGCCCCTCCCACCCAGCTGGGCGGCCCCCTCCCCTTGCACCTCCGGCCCTCCACCCCGGGCATCTGGCTCCCCACCTCTGCGCTCAGGCCCGAGCCCCTCCCCAGGGCAGAGGCAGGCTGGCTGAGGTCCCCACGGGAGGAAGGAGATGCCCTGGCGGGCTTCCCCCCAGCCTGGACGGACCGCCCCCCCGCCTCCCCCGCCCCAGCTGCCCCTTCTGACAGGGGTGGGGGGCGCCAGCCTCATGTGTCTTGTCAGGCTCCGTGTTCACTTGCTCCCTCTCGCTCGCTTGCCTGTTCGTTCATTTGTTCATGCTTCTTGTTCGGCCAGGGGGTGGTAGCTTCAGGCGAGGCTTACAGCAGGGTCCTGGGTGCCCGTGGCCCGCCCGGGGTGGCCTGGCCCCCAGAGAGCCGGTCCGCTTCTCCCACAGGATCTCGCTTTGCGTCCCACTGGGTCCCCTCACGCCCAGACCCGGTCCTCACCTGCGGGGGCGGGGGCTGCTGCTGTGACTTATGGTCGGGTCCCGGGGAGCCCCACGGGCCCCCCACCCCTGGAGGGCGTGCAGTCACTCAATGAGCCCCACAGGGGTCTGCATGGCCCTCCCCGCCGGGCCCGGGACGACAGAGCCATCGGGCGGGGGTCCCCAGCCCCGAGAACGACGGGAACCGACAGATGAAGTCTCTGAGGCCGAGAGTGACTGCCCTTCGCCTCCCGCCCCCAAGGCAGAACCGAGTGGCCCGCGGTGCCCGGGGCGGCTAAATCAAATGGCCCCGAGACTTGTTGGGGGCCAGCTCTGGCTGTTAAGTGCTTGTCAGCGTCCACAGTCCTCTCCTGACTCTATAAAATTCCCAAGAATTATAGGAGCGCCGGGGTCACATAACTCATCGCACAGTAGATTTAACCTGGCGGCCAGTAATTCATATTTGTGGCGATAATATTGTTTTCCACTTTCCGAGAGTTATCACCGTGTCTCCCTTCCAGGTCACTATGGATATCAAAAATCAATTTGGAAAGATGGATACTGTCAGGGAATAAAGCATGAAGGCGGAGGCTGCCCCCCGCGCCCTGCGCTGAGCTTCAGGCACCTCCGGCTCAGGAACCTCGGCGGGGGCCCTGACCGCTCACCCAAGGGACCTGACTTGGGAAATCCTGGCTTCTCCGGCACCTGGCTGCCCCTCCACCACCGAACATGGGGAGGGGACGAAGGGGCCGGGGGTTTCACCCTGGGTGTGGGCAGGGAGGAGCCCGAGGCGGGCGGTGGGTGGATGGCTGGGGGGGATGGCTGGGAGCCCACTGGCCGAGGCCTGCGCCGTGTGGGGGCCACCAGCCCTGGGCTGGGCCTGGGGACAGACTGGTAAGGGGAAGGCCTGCAGAACGCCCGTGGGCTGGGCTGTCCCCACCACCTGTGTTGGAGTTTGGGGTACAGCTGGGCCCCCGCCTGCCCTGGGGCCACCCAGCGAGCTCCGATGGCCCCTCCGGACAGAAGTGGGCGAGCCCAGACCCCTCTGCCAGGTGCCATCCTCCGACCAAGGGCCCGGGTGGCCTTGCGCTGGACCGTGTTTCCCCGAGACGAGCCCACAGTGTGGGCACCTTCTGTCTCGGGGGGCAGCTTCCAGGGCGCCATCAGCGAGACGCAGGACCCACACGGCCACGGGGCCCTGGGCTTCCTGGTGGCCCCTGCTGTCCCGCGAGGACACCTGGTGTGCGAGGCAGGGGGAGGGCGGTGTGGCCCCTGTGCGCCATGGTGGGGGCTGGTGCCGCTGCTGAGAGCTGTGCACTCACGAGTGTGTGCACACATGTGCGCGTGCTCAGAAGTGTGCGTGTGCACTGGGGAGTCTCCGAGTGCTCGTAGGGGTGACCCGTTGTGTGCTGCTGACCCCGTGTGTTGCTGTGTGTGTCGCTGGTTGTATGTCAGTGTTGTAGTTGCGTTGGTGGTTGTGAGTGTCCGTCTTTGCAGCCCCGGGTGTGGCCCACCCCATCTCCTCCCTCGTCCTGGGGTACAGGAGCCTGTGACGGGGTGGGGGGAGGAGAGGGGGAGGTGGGGCCGAGAGTGGGGCGGGGTGAGGACGGGGGCGAGGACGGGGTGAGGCGGGGCGGGGCAGGGTGGGGTGAGATGGGGGTGAGGATGGGGGTGAGGACAGAGGTGAGGACGGGGGTGAGGACAGGGTGAGGCAGGGCGGGGCGGGGTGGGGTGAGATGGGGGTGAGGATGGGGGTGAGGACGGAGGTGAGGACGGGGGTGAGGCGGGGCAGGGTGGGGTGGGGTGAGATAGGGGTGAGGATGGGGGTGAGGACGGAGGTGAGGATGGGGGTGAGGACGGGGTGAGGCGGGGCGGGGCGGGGTGGGGTGAGATGGGGGTGAGGATGGGGGTGAGGACGGAGGTGAGGACGGGGGTGAGGACGGGGTGAGGCAGGGCGGGGTGGGGTGGGGTGAGATGGGGGTGAGGATGGGGGTGAGGACGGGGTGAGGCAGGGCGGGGTGGGGTGGGGTGAGATGGGGGTGAGGATGGGGGTGAGGACGGAGGTGAGGACGGGGGTGAGGCGGGGCGGGGAGGGGTGGGGTGAGATGGGGGTGAGGATGGGGGTGAGGATGGGGGTGAGGACGGGGTGAGGCGGGGCAGGGCAGGGTGGGGTGAGATAGGGGTGATGATGGGGGTGAGGATGGAGGTGAGGATGGGGGTGAGGCGGGGCAGGGTGGGGTGAGATGGGGGTGAGGATGGGGGTGAGGACGGAGGTGAGGATGGGGGTGAGGCGGGGCAGGGTGGGGTGGGGTGAGATAGGGGTGAGGATGGGGGTGAGGACGGAGGTGAGGATGGGGGTGAGGACGGGGTGAGGCGGGGCGGGGCAGGGTGGGGTGAGATAGGGGTGATGATGGGGGTGAGGATGGAGGTGAGGATGGGGGTGAGGCGGGGCAGGGTGGGGTGAGATGGGGGTGAGGATGGGGCTGAGGATGGGGTGAGGTGGGGCGGGGCAGGGTGGGGTGGAATGGGGGTTAGATGGGGTTGATGATGGGGGTGAAGATGGGTGTGAGGATGGGGGTGAGGCAGGTCAGGGTGGGGTGAGATGGGGGTGAGGATGGGGATGAGGTGGGGCGGGGCGGGGTGAGATGGGGGTGAGGCGGGTTGGGGTGGGATGGGGGTGAGATGGGGGTGAGGACGGGGTGAGGTGGGGCAGGGCACGGCAGGGTGGACACGGATGCTGAAGCAGGTCCACACCTGATGTGCTTGGGGTCCTGGGGGCAAGCTGCCTGGTGGTGTCTGCCTGCTGTCCAGGGCCTGCGGGCTGGGGTCCAGGCAGCTTGGCCTGCAGAGCCTCCCAGAGAGGACCTCCACTTCACTCAGAGCCCCTCCCTGCCCCATCTCCTGCCTCCCCTCTCCTGCCCCCAGTCTCACGTTCTCATGTTCCAGCCATGGTCACCTCCGGCCTTAGGACCTTGGCCTCACGTCAGTGTTGCCGCTTCTGGGAAGCACCCCCTGACCTGACCAGGTAGAGGTGGCGCCCCCCCTCCCTGTGTGCCGTCCACTCTCCCCCAGGACGCTGGCCAGCGCAGGCCTACACGGGGGAGCAGGCCTGGGTTCACGACCGGGCAGCCTTGCTGGGGGAAGTTTCCGGAGCCCCAGAGGCAGTCACCGGGTAAGTGACTGCTGCTGGGGGCCCTGGGCCCTTCCCTGCAGCAGGCCCTGTCCGGGGGGCCCGCCCGGTGCACCGCCCAGCGCTTCCTGGATGCCCCCAGGGTCCTGGCCGGCCATGGCCCTAGAAGCAGCCCGCTGTGGGGAGCGGGCCCATGGCCGGCAGCTCCAGCTCCTGCGAGGGGACCTGTCCACGCTCAGGCGGCCTCACCCCGCCCCACCCTGGGTGTCCCCTGGACGGCCCGCCCTACCCGAGGACCCTGGCTCCTCCGCAAACGCAGCGTCCTGGGGACGGACGCCCGTGAGGGCTGAAGGACGTGTGGTCGCTCGGTGGAATTCCTAGCACTGCGGGCTGGAGGGAGCGCAGGGCTGGGGGCATGGAGGCAGGGACCCTGAGTCAGCCCAGAGAGGCTTCAGAAGGAATGGTGACCCCTGCCTCTTCCAGGGCCTCCTTGCTGGGGGTGAGATGGCAGAAGTTAATTAAAAATCAGCTGATGACTGCGCGGAGGTCAGCAGCCACACAGACATGGGGACGGGTGGTACTGGCCATGGGTCACTGACGCGGGAGGGCCGCTCGGTGGGTGGAGGTGACCCTCCAGCTGGTTAGGACCCCTGCCCCCGACTGCAAGCAATCCAGCTCAGGTTGCCTTTAACGAAGCAGGACGGAGCTCAGAGACGGTCCTTTTAGTAGAGAACTGAGTCTCCCCGGCCCCTCACTGCTGTCCGTGGGTGCGGGGGGAGGCCCTGGTTCCGTGGGTGTAACAGTTGGCCCCGGGATCCCCCCTCGTCCCTCTGGTTGGTGGGCTGGCCAGGCCGGGCACCAGCGGGGTGCCTGTGTGGTGCATCCTGCTGTCCCCCCTGGCCCGGGGGTCCACACACCCCTGTCCTGTTTGCCCAGGGCTGGCAGGAGGGAGCCTGACACTGGGGCGGGGTCCCCCTGGGGTGAGAGTGGGGGGCCCTGGCACAAGGGCCCTGCCCCCTGGGCTCCCGAGTGTTGGGAAGGGGCAGGGCAGAGCAGCTTGCACCCAGTTTGGCTACTGTGCTCAGGGCTGCCGGGCACCAAGGCCCAGGGCAGGCATGGTGGCGGCAGAGGTGGCCCGACGGTGTCCCCAGCGGGTCAAGACCGCCATGCGCTCACTGTGCTCGTGAGATGACTTCCGGGGCCCCAACTGCTCCACCTGCCTCTGTGGGGGTGAGAGAGCTGTGCTGGGGGCTCGGCCAGGCCCCTGTGCCCGGAGGACGGGGCCCACGGCGAGGGCTTGGCCGGGTTGTCCCCCTGATCCCATCTCCTATCTGCAGACACTGACCTGCCCGTGGGCCCTGCCTCCCAGGGCACCTCACAGCCCGGCAGCTGAGCCAGGTGACCGCAGGCCACGGCCACGCAGGAGTGCGGGGGGAGGCGGCCTGGCCGACCGCCTACCCTGGCCCCTCTCCCTGGTTCCGGGTGGATACTCACGCAGAGATGGGGCACGGGACAGGTGAGTCGGCGGGAGCGCCCTGCCCCACATGCCCCGCAGCAGCCCCCACCTCGATGCTGAGATCAGTTCACCTCCGGGGCCACGTGTGGGCTCCCCGTGTGCCTGGCACCCCCTGCCCCTGCCACAGCCAGCTCATGGGCGGCAGGTGCGGCAGTGGTTCCCTTGAACCAACTGACCTGACAGCCTCCAGGGCTGGAAAGACGCCACAGACAACATTGAGCCAACCCCTGCCCCAGCCTCTGGGAGCCTGAGCTCTGGGGCCGGGCCCAGGGCGGGCCTCGTCCACACCTGCTAAAGGCCCCGCTGGCACCTCCAGGACCGCCGGGGGGCCCTCCTCGGCCCTGAGAGGGGGCTGCCACGTGACTGCCGCGTCCTCCAGCGTTCCCACCCAGTCCAGGGGCTGGAGCGCTCCCAGATTAGAGCAGGAGCTCGCTTTCCTGGATGCTAAACTCAACCACGGGGGTCCACTTGGGGGACACTGGCACTCTCATGGCACCCAGCCCAGAGGCTGCTCCTCTCTCTGCCCATGACCAGGCGGCTGCCAGGAACAGGGAGTGGGGCCCAAGGCAGCCCGAGCCGCGCTGGAGGCCTCGGACCCGAGGCTGACCGCAATGGGCTTGGAGTGGGGAGCTCCAGGGCCCCCAGGCTGAGCGAGGGGCGTGAGCAGGTGTATGCATGTGTGCCTCGGGCCTCCTGTGTGAGACCCAAGAGCCTGGGTGGACCCAGCACGCAGAGGCCCCTGGATGCTTGTCTGCTGAGCAGCTTTCGGGAGACTGAACCTCCACCTCCACGGGGCTATCCCGGGATGGGACGGGATGTGAACACCTGCCAGGGTGCGGGGGAGGCAGACACGTGCCCCCCAGGGCTCCAGTCCCATTCAGTTCAGTCGCTCCGTCGTGTCCGACTCTGCGACCCCGTGAACTGCAGCTCACCAGGCCTCCCTGTCCATCACCAGCTCCCGGAGTTTACGGGTCCACAGACACGGTAGGCAGAGTGGGGGGAGGCAGCCATCCCCAGACCGGGGTGCAGGAGCCCCTTCTGGGCCCCTCCTAGCAGACCTTGAGCCCAGGGAAGCCCCTGCTTGGGGGTCCTGCCGGTGATCGCCACTGGGCCCCCCGCGTCAGTTTCATTTGGGGTTGTACCCTTAGACACAGACCTCAGTGCCAGCTTCCTGGACCTCCCCACACCGCCACCTCCGGGACCATGGCTGTTTTCAAAAGTGCTGGGCCGGGAGGGCCAGCTGGCAGCAGGCAGGGAAAGCGTTTGCTGGTCCGAAACGCGGCAGCCCTGAGCCCTGAGCTTGGAGGAGGCTAAGGAGGTCTGTGAGGAAGAGCCTATTGATTTTAATTACCCACAAACAGCCCACAGGGACAAAGGACTTTGGCTGTTTATGTAGCAGCGTGTGCGCTATTGTGGAAGGAGAGATCAAATCAGCGGCCCTCATTATTACTATAATAATAAGGCCAAAATGCTGCTCCAGGCTGAGGGCATTTTTTTTTTGAAGCAATAACCTCACCTCCCCACCCCCTCACCGCCCCTCCTAGGCAAGTTCGAGCAACAAGGAGCAATTACATGCTGTCGATATTAATTCAATTAAATCCAGGTTATTTATCGGGCATTATGGAAGAGGATTCTCTAGTCTTACGGAGCCGGGGTGTGACTGAGGGAGTGGGCAAGGTATAGGCCTCGAGCAAAATTGATTGTGGCACAGGCCAGAAAATCAGCGAGTGTCCAGGAGAGAGGAGGATGGGGTGGGGGCGACACGGGGCTGCATAGGTGGTGCTTCTCCCTGGGGAGAGAGATGGAAATCCAGGTGGAAGGCGTCTGAGTCCTGGCTCCTGCAAACCACTGCAGAGGCCTTGGGCGAGTCATCTGAGGCCTGGCCTTCGACTTTGCAGCTGAAAATTGATTTTGGATGAAGGTGGTGGTGATGATGTTGACCAGGGTGGTAATGATAGATGACAAATGACATAATGAAGGAGTTGATGGCAGTGACAACAATGGTAAATGTGAGAATGATGATAGTTGTGATGGTTGTAGTCATGGTTATGGTGGTGGTGGTGATGGTGGTGGTGGTGATGGTGGTGGTGGTGATGGTGGTGGTGATGGTGGTCATGGTGGTGATGGTGGTGATGATAGTGATGATGATCGTGATGGTGGTGGTGGTGGTGATGGTGATGGTGGTGATGGTGATGGTGGTGGTGGTGGTGGTGGTGATGGTGGTGGTGGTGGTGGTGGTGGTGGTGATGGTGGTGGTGGTGATGGTGGTGGTGGTGATGGTGGTGGTGATGGTGGTCATGGTGGTGATGGTGGTCATGGTGGTGATGGTGGTGATGATAGTGATGATGATCATGATGGTGGTGGTGGTGGTGATGGTGGTGATGGTGGTGGTGGTGATGGTGGTGATGGTGGTGGTGGTGGTGATGGTGGTGGTGGTGATGGTGGTGATGGTGGTGGTGATGGTGGTCATGGTGGTGATGGTGGTGATGATAGTGATGATGATCGTGATGGTGGTGGTGATGGTGGTGGTGGTGATGGTGGTGGTGGTGATGGTGGTGGTGATGGTGGTCATGGTGGTGATGGTGGTCATGGTGGTAATGGTGGTGATGATAGTGATGATGATCATGATGGTGGTGGTGGTGGTGATGGTGGTGGTGGTGGTGGTGGTGATGGTGGTGATGGTGGTGGTGGTGGTGATGGTGGTGGTGGTGATGGTGGTGATGGTGGTGGTGATGGTGGTCATGGTGGTGATGGTGGTCATGGTGGTGATGGTGGTGATGATAGTGATGATGATCATGATGGTGGTGGTGGTGGTGATGGTGGTGATGGTGGTGGTGGTGGTGGTGATGGTGGTGATGGTGGTGGTGATGGTGGTCATGGTGGTGATGGTGATGGTGGTGATGGTGATGGTGGTGGTGGTGGTGGTGGTGATGGTGGTGGTGGTGGTGGTGGTGGTGGTGATGGTGGTGGTGGTGATGGTGGTGGTGGTGATGGTGGTGGTGATGGTGGTCATGGTGGTGATGGTGGTCATGGTGGTGATGGTGGTGATGATAGTGATGATGATCATGATGGTGGTGGTGGTGGTGATGGTGGTGATGGTGGTGGTGGTGATGGTGGTGATGGTGGTGGTGGTGGTGATGGTGGTGGTGGTGATGGTGGTGATGGTGGTGGTGATGGTGGTCATGGTGGTGATGGTGGTGATGATAGTGATGATGATCGTGATGGTGGTGGTGATGGTGGTGGTGGTGATGGTGATGGTGGTGATGGTGGTGGTGATGGTGGTCATGGTGGTGATGGTGGTGATGATAGTGATGATGATCGTGATGGTGGTGGTGATGGTGGTGGTGGTGATGGTGGTGGTGGTGATGGTGGTGGTGATGGTGGTCATGGTGGTGATGGTGGTCATGGTGGTAATGGTGGTGATGATAGTGATGATGATCATGATGGTGGTGGTGGTGGTGATGGTGGTGGTGGTGGTGGTGGTGATGGTGGTGATGGTGGTGGTGGTGGTGATGGTGGTGGTGGTGATGGTGGTGATGGTGGTGGTGATGGTGGTCATGGTGGTGATGGTGGTCATGGTGGTGATGGTGGTGATGATAGTGATGATGATCATGATGGTGGTGGTGGTGGTGATGGTGGTGATGGTGGTGGTGGTGGTGGTGATGGTGGTGATGGTGGTGGTGATGGTGGTCATGGTGGTGATGGTGGTGATGGTGGTGATGGTGGTGATGATAGTGATGATGATCGTGATGGTGGTGGTGGTGGTGATGGTGGTGGTGGTGATGGTGGTGGGTGGTGGTGGTGATGGTGGTGATGATAGTGATGATGATCGTGATGGTGGTGGTGGTGGTGATGGTGGTGGTGGTGATGGTGGTGGTGGTGATGGTGGTGATGATAGTGATGATGATCATGATGGTGATGGTGGTGGTGATGGTGGTCATGGTGGTGATGGTGGTGATGATAGTGATGATGATCATGATGGTGGTGGTGGTGGTGGTGGTGATGGTGGTGGTGGTGGTGGTGGTTGGATGGTGGTGGTGATGGTGATGGTGGTGGTGGTGGTGGTGGTGGTGATGGTGATGGTGGTGGTGGTGGTGGTGGTGGTGATGGTGGTGGTGGTGGTGATGGTGGTGATGATAGTGATGATGATCATGATGGTGGTGGTGGTGGTGATGGTGGTGGTGGTGGTGGTGGTGATGGTCGTGATGGTGGTGGTGGTGATGGTGGTGGTGGTGGTGGTGGTGGTGGTGATGGTGATGGTGGTGATGGTGATGGTGGTGGTGATGGTGATGGTGGTGGTGGTGGTGGTGGTGGTGGTGGTGATGGTGGTGGTGATGGTGATGGTGGTGGTGGTGGTGGTGGTGGTGGTGGTGGTGGTGGTGATGGTGGTGATGGTGGTGGTGGTGATGGTGGTGGTGGTGGTGGTGGTGGTGATGGTGATGGTGGTGGTGGTGGTGGTGATGGTGGTGATGGTGGTGGTGGTGGTGGTGGTGGTGGTGGTGGTGGTGATGGTGGTGGTGGTGGTGATGGTGGTGGTGGTGGTGGTGGTGATGGTGGTGATGGTGGTGGTGGTGATGGTGATGGTGGTGGTGGTGGTGGTGATGGTGATGGTGGTGATGGTGATGGTGGTGGTGGCGGTGATGGTGATGGTGATGGTGGTGGTGGTGGTGGTGGTGGTGGTGGTGATGGTGGTGGTGGTGGTGTTGATGGTGGTGGTGATGGTGATGGTGGTGGTGGTGGTGGTGGTGGTGGTGATGGTGGTGATGGTGGTGGTGGTGGTGATGGTGATGGTGGTGGTGGTTGGATGGTGGTGGTGATGGTGGTGGTGGTGAAATTGGTGGTGACAGTGGTGGTCACCAGGGTCTGGGAAGTGAGAGGCCGTGACTGGAACGGGGCTCGGGAGGAGAGCGTAGCGGAGGCAGAGGGAAGCCAGGGGCTGGGCCTGGAGGCGGGGGTTTTCATCTCCACACGGGACACAGTCATCTCACAGGGCAGTGTAGCAGGTACTGCAACCCGGCAGGTTCAAAGGACAGAGGCCCACCCTCTCCCTGTGTAGAGACAGGGGTTGGAAACCAAGGTGTTGGCAGGGGAGGCTCTCGGCAGGGTCCTCTGCCCCGGCTGCCGAGGCCTTCCCTCCGGCACCTGCTTCCTTTCAGACTTCCTTCCTGTCTTCACCCCACGTGTTTCTTCCATTTTTCTCGTAATGATACCTGTCATTGTTTTAAAGAAAGTGAAAGTAACTTTCCAACAGTCGTGTCTGACTCTTTGCAACTCCATGGACTATAGAGTCCATGGAATTCTAAAGGCCAGAATACTGGAGTAGGTTGCCTTTCCCTTCTCCAGGGGATCTTCCCGACCCAGGGATCGAATCCAGGTCTCCCGCATTGCAGGCGGATTCTTCAACAGCTGAGCCACAAGGAAAGCCTGTCATTGTTTTAAAGGGTCTCCCACTCCACCAGGACCTCAGCATCACTAATCACATTGCAAAGACCCCGTTTGTGCGAGCAGGCTACTGCTGTGGGTTCTGGATGAAGACGGATTTTGGAGGCCCGGACGGCAGAGCCTCCAGGGAGCCCCGCGGTCACAGCTGCTGGTGACCTGTCTGGAGACCCCTGCCCTCCTGTGTGCGGCTGAGCACTCGTGGACGATGCCCTCTGACCTGGCCTTGAACCTCAGCCGGTGCGGACATCAGCAAGGGGCCGGGGTCCACTCTGCTCCCTGGGCCACGCTCGCCGCCTCCGGCTCCTGAGGAAGGCTGCCTGTGGCCTGACATTGGACACCGTGTCTAACCGGCTGAGATTGACCTGTTTGGGGCTCCTCACTGCAGCTGAGTGATTTGATCTGAGCCCCAGACAGCAGGCGGGGCAGTAATTGGATGTGATGGGATGGGAGGGCCACTCTCCGAGGCGGGGGTGGCTGCCAGGCAACTGGGGGGGGGCTCGGCCGGCAGGCGGGGCTGGGGCAGCCACTGTCAGCGGGAGATAAGCCCCTCACCCTCAGCCCCCAATCTCCTGGCTGGGGTCATGGACAGAGCCTGAGGCCAGATGGAATGAACACGGCCGCTGTCCGGGGCTGCTTGGCCGGCTGCCCGGAGGGCGCCGTACAATTAGTTTTAAATATCAATTTCATGGCTGCTCAGGGGAGGAGAGGAGCAGGCAGGCGATGCCTGATGCAAACTGCGTTCTGCTTGCTGGAACTTGGCGAGGAAACGCAGAAGCTGTCAACTTCACATTCAGTGGAGGGAAGGCCAGCCACCTCCTGTGGGGCCTGGTCCATGTTGACTGCAGGGCTGCCGGCCCCTCCCTTCCCCCTTCCAGCCCTGTGGGACTTCCCTGCCTCTATACCTTGTCCACACTAGTTCCTTCCTGCTCCTTCCTTGGGGTTGATTGAGAAAGCCCCCTCCTCCAGGAAGTCCACCAGGAGAGCTCCTTCTGAGACCATTGATCCTGTTCTGACCAGGCCTCAGGCCAGTGCTTGGGCTTCTTTCAGAGACTGGGCGTGCCTGTGGCCCACCTGCCTCCCCTAGCCCCTTCCTGACCGGACGCAGCTCTGGCCAGCCAGGCTCTGGTGCCAGGAAGCTGAAGCAAGTGAGCCTGTGGCCTGAGGGCTGGTAGAATGGGGTGGGGGACCCGCTGGGACCATGCCAGGGATGACCGGGGATAGAGGGAACCCGGGGAGGGTGCTCGGCCCTGCTCCAAAGACAGGGCAGAGGAGTAAGGGGCAATGATGGGATCTGGAGGGCTCCTGGGTGAAGGAGCTGGGGAGGGGGTACCATACAGAGGAAGGGGCCTTGACCCGAACCTCGAGATAAAGGCAGAGCCCGCTTGGAAGAGAGTTGAAAAGGTGGCCCCCCTTGTGGGGTCAGGGAAAGCCTGGCGAAGTTCCCCCTGGGTAGCCCACCGCGCCCCTCCCAGGCTGGACCCCAGGTGGCCAGGCGCCCAGCCCACCCTCCGAGGGACTGGAGGGTGCTGATCCGTTCTGGGGGCTGCACCGGCCGGTGTGGGCCTGGGCGGGACCCCCGAGTGCGCGAGCGCCCAGCCACCACTTTCCACTCGGGGTGGTGGGACGTCTGGGCCGGCGCCGCGGGGCGGGCGCCCGGGAAACGACGCTGAGCGAGGGCACCTGCCGGCTTCGCGGGCCCGGGCGCGCGGCCCCCGGCGCGGAGCCGGTCCCCGGGGCGCCCCCTCTGCGGCCCCCCCACCCCAGGAGGGGGCGGTCCCCGGGCGCGCGGCGGAAGCGCTGGGCGGCGACCCGGGGTCCGCGTGCCTCTCACCCGCCGCACCGCCGCGCAGGCAATTTGTCTCCGTCTCTCCTCTCCTAAAACACTTTTATCAAAATTGGCGGTCACACCGCGCTGAACCGTGGTGGCCTCAATCTTAAACGCCGCGCTGCAGATTTTAATTTGGGGAAGATTAATGCGCTCGCGGCGTCGGCGGCGCCGCGCCCGTTATCGGGCCTGACGGGTGTCAGCCGTCCCCGCGTGCGTGTCCCTGTGTCCGGGTCTCCGGGGCCGCCGGCGCCGCGCCTGGCCGGCTGGGGGAGGAAACCCGGGATGCCGGGGGCTGGGCGCCCCTGGGAGCCGGGATATGCGCCGCGCTCCCCCGGCCGCCAGGCCCCCTCCCCGGGCCTTGTGGCCGGTCACCCTCCACCGCGGAGTCCAAGGACGGACCTCCAGGTGCGACCGCTGCGCTGTTCACCCCGTCCTCCTCCGGCCTCCGGACCTCGCACCGGCTGAGCCCGGGCTCCGAAAGTTGGTGCCGGGCGGGCCCTGAACTCGACTCCTCAACCCCACCCCAGGGCAGGGACGCCCGGCCTCACCCCACCCCCCGCTCCAGCTCAGCCTCCAGGGTCTCTCCAGCGTGGCCCCCTCTTCCAGGAGACACCCCTGCCTTCAGGCCCGTGGCCCTTGACCCCAGGCTCAGTTGACCGGTTGGGGCGCCAGTGAGCGGTCGGCTCACGCCCTCTTCTGTTCAGCCCTGCAGGGACTCCTGCCGCCTGGAGCCGCAAGCCGCGTCCGCTGTGCGCCCGCCTCCTTCCCTGTCCCCGGGCCGCCCACCTCTCCAGGCCTGGGTCCGCCCTCCCCAGGGCCCCCTCCCTCCTGCACCGTGATCTCCCGGCAGCTCGGGGTGTCTGTCTGTCCCGGGGTCCCGGTGTCTAGAGCCGTGTGGGCTCCAGCAGGTGCTCAGGGTGTGTCCCTGTCCCCACCCCGCCCGGGAGCACTGACCTTGGGGAAAGGCCTGGCCTGGCCTGAGGGAGCGGGGGGTAGAAGCCAGGGTCAGGGGTCAGGGAGGACGCCCCCTGACCCCTGCGCTCACTGGAGGGTCTGGGTCCACCCCTGAGAGGCTCCCAGGCAGGGGTGCGGTGGGCCATGGGTTCATAAATGGCTGTTCTTGGGATCCCGAGCCCTACACCCCCCTTGCCGTCGCCCCACACCAACCCCGCTGCCCTGGGGGAAGCCCCCCATCGTCCCCACAGTGGCTCAGAGAAGGGCGGGGCGCCCTCGCTGCCCTGGCATGGAGGGGTGCCTCAGCGGCCACTCTGGGCACCTGAGAGCAGCAGGTGGAGGTCAGAGCTGGACATCAGAGCACAAGACCCGACTCACAGGCCGGGCTCCGTCCAGCGGCTCCTTGTGGCCAAGGGTCTGCCTGCGCTGGCGCTGCAGGGCCTGCTCCCACGGGTCCTGGAATATGTGGCTGCTTTTTGGGTAAGATTGGTGGACGGGAGGAGTCTGAACCACTGGTTCCATTGATCCTTTATGTGACATTCATTCATTAAGTCAGTGATACACATTGGAGTCTGGCTGCGAGGGGTACCGAGGAGTGAGCAAAGCCCCATCCCACATGTGAGCCATGTGTGACCTCCCCAGTGACGGGAGCTGAGAGACTGATGAGGGGGACCGCCCCACAGTCAGAGCACGCGGAGGGTGTGGTGCATCACTGGGTGGCGGGCGGGGCTCCCAGGGCCGCAGAGCTGGAAGCTGAGGGCCTGGGGCAGAGTCTGAACCACAGGCATGTGGGCTGGTCAGGGTATGAAGGTCAGGGGGCGTGGAGGGGGAGGAAGGGGCCCAGGAGGGCATCCTGCCTGCGGCCCGAGCACCAGGAGCGTGGGGTGGGCGCTCGGCTGGGATGGAAGGACCATGTCCAGCACTGGACCTTCAGGAGGTGGGGCGGGCAGCAGGCACTGAAGGGTTTGACCCCAGCCTCTGTAGAGCTGCAGTGACGCTGTGGGGGGCCGGGCAGGGTCCCTGGGGCTGCATCCAGAGAGGACAGGGCGTCCTGGACGTGTCCACACTGGGCTCTGACGCCTCGCACTTGCAGGCTCTCCTTGCCCTGCATGAGTGGTCAGGGAGGACTTCCTGGGGGAGGAGACCCTGAGGGAAAGAACTGGGGAGAGGTGTCCAGAACCAAGGACAGGGAGGGAGGGAAGCAGGACATGAGGGGTAGGGAGATAAGGCAGGAGCTGCTGGGGTCTCCAAGGCCACGTGAGGGATTGGCCTTGATCCCCTGGGTTACAGGAGCCACCTGGGGCATCAGGCAGAGTGACTGGTCACACTGGTGGGAGAGAGGGGTGGGGGATGAGGAGAGGGCGGGGGAGGGGGATGGAGGGGGAGGGGTGGGGGAGGGGGAGAGGGCGGGGGAGGGGGATGGAGGGGGAGGGGTGGGGGATGGGGAGAGGGCAGGGGAGGGGATGGAGGGGGAGGGGTGGGGGATGGGGAGAGGGTGGGGGGAGGGGAATGGAGGGGGAGGGGTGGGGGATGGGGGGAGGGGAATGGAGGGGGAGGGGTGGGGGATGGGGAGAGGGCGGTGGGGGAGGGGGATGGAGGGGGAGGGGTGGGGGATGGGTGGGGGATGGGGAGAGGGTGGGGGGAGGGGGGTGGAGGGGGAGGGGTGGGGGATGGGGAGAGGGCGGGGGAGGGGATGGAGGGGGAGGGGTGGGGGATGGGGAGAGGGCGGGGGAGGGGGTTGGAGGGGGAGGGGTGGGGATGGGGAGAGGGTGGGGTGGATGGATAGGGGATGGGGAGAGGATGGTGGGGGGAGGGGGAATGGAAGGGAAGGGGTGGGGGGATGGATGGGGATGGGGAGAGGGTGGTGGGGGAGGGGGATGGAGGGGGAGGGGTGGGGGAGGGGTGGGGGTGGATGAGTGGGGGATGGGGAGAGGGCGGGGGAGGGGGATGGAGGGGGAGGGGTGGGGGATGGGTGGGGGATGGGGAGAGGGCGGGGGGAGGGGGATGGAGGGGGAGGGGTGGGGGATGGGGAGAGGGTGGGGGGAGGGGAATGGAGGGGGAGGGGTGGGGGATGGGGAGAGGGCAGGGGAGGGGATGGAGGGGGAGGGGTGGGGGATGGGGAGAGGGTGGGGGGAGGGGAATGGAGGGGGAGGGGTGGGGGATGGGTGGGGGATGGGGAGAGGGCAGGGGAGGGGATGGAGGGGGGTGGATGGGGGATGGGGAGAGGATGGTGCGGGGAGGGGAATGGAGGGGGAGGGGCGGGGGGGATGGATGGGGGATGGATGAGTGGGGGATGGGGAGAGGGTGGTGGGGGGAGGGGGAATGGAAGGGAAGGGGTGGGGGGATGGATGGGGATGGGGAGAGGGTGGTGGGGGAGGGGGATGGAGGGGGAGGGGTGGGGGATGGGGAGAGGGCGGTGGGGGAGGGGGATGGAGGGGGAGGGGTGGGGGATGGGTGGGGGATGGGGAGAGGGCGGGGGGAGGGGGATGGAGGGGGAGGGGTGGGGGATGGGGAGAGGGCAGGGGAGGGGATGGAGGGGGAGGGGTGGGGGATGGGGAGAGGGCGGTGGGGGAGGGGGATGGAGGGGGAGGGGTGGGGGATGGGTGGGGGATGGGGAGAGGGCAGGGGAGGGGATGGAGGGGGGTGGATGGGGGATGGGGAGAGGATGGTGCGGGGAGGGGAATGGAGGGGGAGGGGCGGGGGGGATGGATGGGGGATGGATGAGTGGGGGATGGGGAGAGGGTGGTGGGGGGAGGGGGATGGAGGGGGATGGAGGGGGAGGGGTGGGGGTGGGTGGGGGTGGATGAGTGGGGGATGGGGAGAGGGTGGTGGGGGGAGGGGAATGGAGGGGGAGGGGGTGGGGGAGGGGTGGTGGGGGATGGACGGGGTGGGCTGGGTAGCAAGATGAATGGGGGAATGGTGGGGGATGGAGGAGTGGGGGATGGGGTGCAGGATGAATGGGAGAATTGTGGGGGATGGTGGGGGATGGATGCAGATGCATCTCTTCCCAGGTTCCCTGAGCAGGCGCTGAGGGTTCATCCCTGCTCCCTGCCCAGTGGGAATGGAGAAGAAGGACAATCACGTGGACCCCTCCCCAGACACATCACGGCCTGACCCCAGGGAAGAGGTGACAGTGAAGTGGGGTCTCCTGGCTCAGCTGGCCGGAGGACAGTCAACCCCAGCACGGCTGCCCTGTCTGTGCTTGGTGGGGAGTGCATGGAGCTGGGCCCCAACCCCAGTTCCCCCCAGCCGCCTCTCTAGACCCCATGGTGACCGGGTCAGTAGGAGTGTCAGAATTCGCTGCGGCTAACTCCAGTGCTGGGAAGTGGAAGGCCTGGACACGCTGGAACCCCTGCCACATCCCAGGGCCATCTGTCTTGCCAGTTGCCGTTGCCATGACACCCGTACCTCCCAGCTTTTCAGGTGGCCCGTGGGTTTGGGGTCCTGGGAGGGCGCATCTGATTGGCTGAACCCAGGTGTTGCCCGGACCCAGCTTGAGGGGGGGAGCACGGTCCCAGGCCTGTCCACTCCCACTGCCCATAGGAGAGCTGCTTTCCCAGGGGCCCTGAGGACCTGCAGGTAGGTGATGGCCAGTGACAATATCCAAGGGCTCTCTGCACCTGGAATTCAGAGAGAGGGCCCCTTGCCACCCCCAAGGCCACCAGGACCTCACGCTGGGAAGACAGCGTCCCGCAGGCTCTGTGAGTGTCCTTCACGGGTTTAATTTGGTGGAGAAAGCCCGTTTAGGTTCTCTGAGATTGTTCATGAAATCCCCATGTGTAAATATAATCTGAGAGCCTAAAGCTCATCAGTAATTCCACTCTCCTGGCCCTCGGGGGTTCCTCTCTCCCGGCTCCACCAGAAGTGAGGTGCCAGGGCAGAGACGCCCCCAGCCCCCTTGGAGGGCAAAGCTGCCTTCAGAGTGGGGAGGCACCGAGTGTGGCAGAAATGAACTCAGCATCTTTCAGGGAACAAAATCATTGAGCTCACAGACTGAATTTAACAGCCTAATAGAAATATGCAGGTGAAGGTACAATTAATTTTAATTACTAGACTATACACTGTTGGTTGCACAGCCATGAGTAAAATTAAAATGGCAATCACAATTAGGAAATTGCGACCTCATTGTGCAACAAATTAGTCACAAATTAAAAGTGCGTCCACGCTGCCTCTCCTGGAGCTTTACGGCCGTTCCTGCTCTGCGGACTTTGTCCTCCCAGGGTGGGAGCTGACCTCTCAGAGCAGAGCGACGCTGTGGTGCTGGGTGAGCCAAGGAAGGGGACCCTCTCGGGTCACCTGCCCTCCAGTGGTCCCGCTGGCCCATCCACCCTGCAGCCCCTAGACGGCCCGACTCTGATTTCCCACCAACCGCGGGCTCGCGGCTTCATCAGGGTGGGCCAGCCCTGCCGAGGAGGATGGGACGCCCAGGGTCCTCCGTGGGCCTGGGGGCTGCCGCCGCAGGACCACAGGTGGGCCTTCTCCTCTCTCCCTGCTCAGGCGGGCTCAACCCGGCCTCACCGCTGGCCGGACCCCGCTGTCCCGAGTGGACAGTGTGTGTGTTTCCATCTAGGCCTGCAGGTGCCCCCAGCCCCGCCCTGAGCGCCCGAGGTCTGCTGTCCAGGCCTTTCTCCCTGGGGTGTTCCCCCCAGCATTTCAGCCCCCCTCCCCTCCTACCCCAGCTCAGCCTGAACCCAGACCCCTGCCTTCCACCTTCTGCCTGGGGCCCTCCGGTCACTCCCTGCGCCCCCAGGCGAGGAGACGGCTTCACCTCTCAGGGTCTCACCATGCCCTCACCCCCTTGACCAGGGCCTCCTGTTCTCTGCCCTCTGGCCAAGCTGGCCCCATCCACTCCTGGTTTTCAGAGCTGCCTCCTAGCACACTGCTTTCTTTCATGCTGTTCCCTGTGTGGAGATGCTGTTCCCGTTGCTCATGGCTAATCCTGAAGTTTCAGGTGGGTCCTGTGCCTCAGCAGGTCCCCTGCCATGTGTACCCCCGGGAGGGGGTGTGGAGGTCAGAGGGCAGCCAACACAGCCTCCAGAGCAGCACCCAGGCCAGGCACTGGGGGTGTGGGAGTCGAGAAGGGGACGAGAGAGCAGCGGAGGCTGAGGCCCCTGGGCCGGCGTGGCGACCGCCGAGCAGGTGCTGGGAGGCGCAGGGGACGGTCATTGTTGGTCCTGCTCACCCAGCATGGGTGGTGGGCAGGCCAGCTGTCTCTCTCTGACTCAGGGGTCTAAGCTCAGGGTGGCTGCATCTTGCCTTTTCACCAGATGGCTCACTCCTGCTCCAAGCTCCAGAGGGCACGGCCTTGACCCAGAGCTGAGGCAGCGGGGTGCAGGGGGGGACCGCCCCCTCCCGCTGAGTGTGACCACTCTGCTGGGGACCAGTGAGCACACTCCCTCCTGTCTCCTCCCCCTCCCCGCTCTGTGCCAGGTGCCCCCACCAGGTTTGGGGGGCCTGATCCCGGTTCTCTCCAAGTCCTCACCTTAAGTCAAGTCCACGGGGCTCCCTGCCAAGGCTCAGCTCTGAGTATCCTTCCTCCAGCCGGGAGGCGACCAGGCTCGGGGAGGAGTGTGTGAGGACTTCGCACGGGCCGTGCCTCCAGCCTCTGTGTCGCCCCCTGCCGTCTCAGGGGGCATTTCCGCCTTCTGACGGCTCCTCCCCCCGACCTCCAGGCGAGGCTTGGCGGGTAGACCCTCACCCTGTAGTATGATGCAGTCACTGGATCCGTCCCCGGCTCTCCCAGAAGAAGGGACGCGGTGCAGAAGGGGGTGGGGGGTGCTGCCTTCCCAAGCCCCAGAGCTCAGGGAACAGCAGGGGGCAGGGCCACTCACTCCTGTGACACCAGGACTCTCCCACCAGTTCACGTGCAGGGCTGCACGGCCCCAGTGGGAGCCCCTGCCACCCTCGGCGGGGGCTGGCTGTGTGTCCTGGGACAAGACGCCCCTCCCACCTTTCTCCACCTTCAGCACCCTGAGGGTCCCAGAAGGGCAGGCCTGTCCCCTTAACAGGCAGCTCTCAGCAACCTCCTGTGTCAGCAAGTCCCAGGGCCCCCAGCAACACGGGCCCATGCCGCCCCGGAGCTACACTCCAGCGGTGCCAGTTCCCAGCCAGAAGCCACTGGGGGTCACTCTCCCTTGGGGGCGGCGTCTGGTAAGCAGCCCAGAAATGCCCTGGGCAGGGGGTTTCCCAGGGCTGGGAGCTCACGCCAACCTCGGGCAGGGTGGCAGCCCTTCACCCGTTGCCCAGGGCCACTGGGGTCTCGTGCAGTTGGTCCATCTGGTCAGTGAGTGCTGGCGTCAGCCCAGGGAGGCAGCTGCAGGGTCCTCTCTGACCCTTGGACAAGGTAGCCTTCCAGGCTGAGGCTTTCTTGGGCCCCCACATTTTCCCTTCTTAGCGTGTCCTTCACCTCTCAGTCCCTGCGTCCCACCTGTTTACCACCTGTCTTCCTCACTGGCCCTCACACTCCACGCGGGATGTCACTGATGGAGGCCCACCAGGCAGGTGGACGCGTGGTGAGCGTGGGTACAGACACAGTGACAGTGTTGAGTATTCTGCTCATGGATGTGGTCTGTCTCACCTTTCTTTAGTCCCCTGGCTCAGTGGGTAAAGAGCCTGCCTTCAAAGCATTAAACGCGGGAGATGTGAGCTCAATCCCTGGCTCGGGAAGATCTGGAGGAGGGCATGGCAACCCACTCCAGTATTCTTTTTTTTTTTCCCACTCCAGTATTCTTACCTGGAGAATCCCATGCACAGAGGAGCCTGAATACAGTCCGTAGGTTCACAGAGTCTGACACGACTGAGCACACATGCATCATTCAGTTCAGTCGCTCAGTCGTGTCTGACTCTTTGTGACCCATGAATGGCAGCACGCCAGGCCTCCCTGTCCATCACCAACTCCCGGAGTTTACTCAAACTCATGTCCACTGAGTCGGTGATGCCATCCAACCATCTCATCCTCTGTCGTCCCCTTCTCCTCCAGCCTTCAATCTTTCCCAGCATCAGGGTCTTTTCCAATGAGTCAGCTCTTTGCATCAGGTGGCCAAAGTATTGGAGCTTCAGCTTCAACATTAGTCCTTCCAATGAACACCCAGGACTGATCTCCTTTACGATAGATTGGCTGAATCTCCTTGAAGTCCAAGAGACTCTCAAGAGTCTTCTCCAACACCACAGTTCAAAAGCATCAATTCTTCAGTGCTCAGCTTTCTTTATAGTCCAAATTTCACATCCATACTTGACTACTGGAAAAACCATAGCTTTGACTAGACAGACCTTTGTCGGCAAAGTAATGTCTCTGCTTTTTAATATGCTGTCTAGGTTGGTCATAGTTTTTCTTCCAAGGAGCGTCTTTTAATTTTATGGCTGCGGTCATGCAGTGATTTTGGTGCCCAAGAAAATAAAATCTGTCACTGTTTCTATTGTTTCCCCATCTATTTGCCATGAAGTGATGGGACAAGATGCCATAATCATAGTTTTCTGAATGTTGAACTTTAAGCCAACTTTTTCAGTCTCTGCTTTCACTTTCAACAAGAGGCTCTTTAGTTCTTCACTTTCTGCCATAAGGGTGGTGTCATCTGCATATCTGAGGTTATTGATGTTTCTCTCGACAATCTTGATTTCAGCTTGTGCTTCATCCAGCCCGGCATTTCGCATGATGTACTCTGCATACAAGTTAAATAATCAGGGTGACAATATACAGCTTTGACATACTCCTTTCCCAATGTGGAACCAGTCTGTTGTTCCATGTCTGGTTCTAACTTTTGCTTCTTGACCCGCATACAGATTTCTCAGGAGGCAGGTAAGGTGGTCTGGTATTCCCACCTCTTGAAGAATTTTCCACAGTTTGTTGTGATCCACACACTCAAAGGCTTTGGCATAGTCAATAAAGCAGAAATAGATGTTTTTCTGGAACTCTTTTGCTTTTTCAGTGATCAATTTGATCCCTGATTCCCCTGCCTTTTCTAAATCTACTTGAACATCTGAAAGCTCTTGGTTCATGTACTATTGAAGCCTCACTTGGAGAAATTTAAGCATTACTTTGCTAGAGTGTGAGATGAGTGCAATTGTGTGGTAGTTTGAACATTCTTTGGCATTGCCTTTCTTTGGGATTGGAATGAAAACTGAACTTTTCCAGTCCAGTGGTCACTGCTGAATTTTCCAAAATTGCTGGTATATTGAGTGCAGCACTTTCAAAGCATCATCTTTTAGGATTTGAAGTAGCTCGTGACTAATTTCTCTCAGCCATGAGTGGCATTTTTTTCAGTGTACAGGTCTCACACATATTGTGTCAGATTTTATCTCTATGTATTTCATATTTTTGATGGTATTGCAGATACTGTTTTAAATTTCAAATGTCCAACTGTTTGTTGCTAGTGCACAGAAATACAGTTAACTTTTGTATGCTGATCTTGCATCCTGCAGCCTTGCTGAACTGTGCTGAAGAGAAGAGCTGTGTAGAGACAATCTGTCCTTTTCCCTAAATTTTGGGTGAAAGTATTCAGTCTTTCACCACCAAGTGTGACATCAACTGTGTCAGGGATGCCCATTATCAAGATGAGGATGTTCTTTTCTGTGTCTACTTTACTGAAGATTTTTGTTAGAAATGATTGTTGGACTTTATAAAATGATTTTTTTATTTAAATAGTCATTATGTTTTTCATTTTTAGTCTGTTACTATGGTGAATTATATTTTTCAGAGTTAAACCAACCTTGCATTCCTTAGATAAATCCCACTTGATCATGATCTGATCCTTTAAAAACATTTTTAATTCCATTTTCTAAATTTTAAGAATTTTTGCATTTATGTTCATAATGGAATACAGTCTGTAGTTTATTTTTGCTGCCTAGTGTTGGAGTGAAGGTCATGTTAGCCTCATAGAATGCGTTGGAAAGTGTTTTCTTCTATTCAGTTTTCTGGAACAGTCCCTGAAAAATTATCATTTCTTCATGAGACTTATTTGGGCTTGGGGTTTTCTTTTTTATAAGGTATTTAAACATTCCATCTTTAATAGTGATAGAATTATTTAGATTTTCTATTTCTTCTTGAATGGGCTTTGACAGTTTGTGCCTTTTGAGAAGTTTGTCCTTTTCTTCTAAGTTGTCCAGCTCATTGACATAAAGTACACACAATATTCCCTTAATATCCTTTCTGTACAGTCTGTATTGATGTCACTTTTCTCATTCTTGAAAGTGGTCATTTGTGTATTCCCTCTTTTACTATGAGTTGGTCTGGCTTGTCAATCTTACTGAGCTTCTCAAAGAACCAGCTTTCGATTTCATTGATTTTCTCTATTCCTTTTCTGTTTCATTGATTTCCACTCCAGTGTTTATTATTTCCATTCTTTCACTTACTCTGAGTTGTATTTGCTCTTTTCCCCCTTGGTTCTTAAGGTGGAAGTTGAGGTCATTGATTTCGGGTCTTTTTTTTTCCAGTACAGATACTTTCCCTCTATGTATTGTACTGCTTTAGCTGCATGTCAGTTTTTTGATATGTTGTATTTTCATTTTCATTCAATTCAAAATATTCTCATTTTCCCTTTGACTTCTTCTTTGACCCAGGGGTTATTGAGAAGTATGTTTTATAGTTTTTCTAGGTATCTTTCTGTTATTGATTTCTAGTTTAATTCTATTGTGATCAGATAACATACCTTGTATGACTTGAATACTTTAGAAATTTTGGAGACTTGTTTTATGACCCAGAGTATGGGCTTTCTTGGTAAGTGTTCCTTATGCACTTGGAAAGAATGTGAAATCTGCTGTTCTGAGTGCCCCATGAATAATCAGCTCAGATTGGTCCATGGTGCATTCAAGGCTTCCATAGTCTTCATGATACTTGTCCATCACTTGTTGAAAGAAGGTGTTGAAATCTCTAACCACAACTGTGGGTTTGTCTGTTTCCTTGTGTTATTCTTAGTTTTTGCTCCAAGTATTTTAAGCTCTGTTATTGGGTGTAAACATTAAAAGAAGGCAGAGCACCAAAGAATTGATGCTTTTGAACTATGGTGCTGGAGAAAACTTTTGAGAGTCCCTTGGACTGCAAGGAAAGCAAACCAGTCCACCCTAAAGGAGATCAGTCCTGAGTGTTCATTGGAAGGACTGATGTTGAAGCTGAAGCTCCAATAGTTTGGTCACCTGATGCAAAGAGCCAACTCATTAGAGAGACCCTGATGCTGGGAAAGATTGAGGGCAGAGGAGAAGGGACGACTGAGGATGAGATGGTTGGATGGTATCACCGACTCAATGGACATGAACTTGGGCAAACTCTGGAAGGTGGTGAGGGACAGGGAAGCCTGGCCTGCTGCGGTCAATGGGGTTGCAAAGAGTCAGACGTGAGTTGGCGACTGAATAACAACAACATAAACTTTAAAAAGGTTTATGTCCTCCTGGTGAATTAGCCCTCTGAGTGAGTGTGAAAGTTGTTCAGTCGTGTCTGACTCTTTGTAACCCCATGGACTGTACAGTCCATGGGATTCTCTAGGCCAGAATACTGGAGTGGGTAGCCTTTCCATTCTCCAGGGGATCTTCCCAAACCAGTGATCAAACCCAGGTCTCCCGCATTGCAGGCAGACTCTTTACCAGCTTACTCCTCGTGAATTAGTCCTCTGTCATAATTAAAAGGCTCTCTTTGTTAGGGGAAGCACACTGATTGAAAC